TCAAGATGTAAGATTCCTGTCTGTCTCTTGTTTCTTGTTGTCTTCTGCTCTCACCAAAAATAAAATGTAATGAACTTTGTTAGGAACAAAACTAGGAGAAGGGAACAAAATTCGAAGGAGTGGGACAATGCCGGGACAGCTCCTCTTTCTCTCTCTTCTTGGAAATGCTCTTGAGAAACCTGTTGACTTGACTGCCAGTACGTACTGTGGAATTTCATTGCTCCTTCAGTTGCTTCACATAATATGACAAGAACAGCCTATAAATATCTGAAGACCTTCAGCTTAACGGCATGGGAAACAAAACTAACTCATTCGTCCAAAGTGACATGTTTAATAATGTCAAATGAAGCTAAATTCCTGTCTCGAAAAAATACTGTATACGAAGAACGACCATCAATCCTTACTGCAAATAAGAAACAGAAACTGGATTTTATACAGCGTAATATTTTGCTTTCTTGCGAAAACCTAGGCAGTCCTATTTTGCTTACATTTGCTGCAAAGATTGTATATCTTGGCCGGTGGCAACTGTGAAGCAGCACAGCCTAGTTTTGAATCCAGCTTTCTCTCCGTGACCCTTATCAAGATTAGACAGGTACTCGTACATGCTAGAGATATGAAACTAATTGAATTTATTTTGCAGAGAATGAAATGCCGTTAAGTAGGATAACTGACAATCTAATTTTTCTTTCCACGTTCCACACAATAACAAGGCGAGAAATCTGAGCAGAATGTTTCGAAGGAAAAGAGAAAGTAAAACACATGTATTTATGAGATGTATTTTCACTTCACCGTGTGATTGCCAGATGGGTGCAACTGCTGAAAATATCATGGAAGCAGGATTCAGACACGTAGTGGAAATACTTATGTATGTACATACAACCATAGATCTTCAGAAACCTTTCTTTGTTTTGACTTAAAGAATGGGTGCAAGATGTGCACTAAAAAAATAGATGCTTGGAGGAGAAAACAAGAGAGAAAAGGAGCCATTCTATATCAAGGCGAGGATGGAACATTGTATTTCTTTATACTTTTGCATGAGCATATTGTCATTCCAAGTCAGCACCGACCTGACGCGTGTCGTGCAAGCAAAAACAGGTAAAAGATGTGCTTTCACATAATGATGACCCAACAATAATGATGAGATGAATATGTGTCCTTGTGAATTGTGATGAGTTGATGTGCTGAAATGCAATATCTGAAAGAGTATTCCCAAAATAATGCATACGTGTATACACTGCGAGTTAGATATTTGCCTTTCATCAACAACAATGCATGTCTGGAAATCCTTCAAAAACTCCTCATAAAGTACCAACATGTGATTTGATATCCTCGGCGGAGCAAAATAATCAAAGTCCATGCTTTGAAGAAAAAGTCTGTATAATTAATGATTAATTCCGCATGTACATATCTCCAAGTACAAAGAGTATTTGTTCCCAAAAGACTTGTTGGCATGAAAAGATAGGTTTGAAATGAAAACGAGTGTTACAAGATGGTAAATATTTTTCAACCCAATGTGTGAAGTGGTTTTACATCTTCTGGTGAGTTTTCTTGTGTGGTGGCAACTTATTTAACAATAATGATACCGACTTCCTTGCAATGCCAACAAAGGAACCACTGGAGACACTTTCCCTTCCATTACCAAGATCAAAGAAGACTGGTGAAAGGAAAGGAAGAAGCAACAGGCTGACTGACTGTGTCATGAAACCTGGTGGACTTTGGGTGGATACAGAGTGCAAGTGGGACTGCTTTCATCAAGCTTTGGTTACCTAAACCGAGACCGAGACTGGAATCAGATCCTTCTTCTTCTTTTGGTGAGAGAGGAAAAGAGAGAAAACAGGATGTTGATCCAATGTGCTGAATCAACATTTTCTTTCATCTCTCTCCCTCTATAAATAAGGGTTGGCAGAGAGAGAGAGCGAGACCTGAGAAAGTTTGATGAAAGTTCGGTTCAGTTTTCATCAGTTTTAACTCATCAGGGTGAAAGGGTCCTCTTCTCAAGTAGTCTGGAGACATTAGAAATAAATGTGCACTTAAATCTTATTATGCGCACATATGTACATGGCGCTAGTGTTAAACAAATCAATATATCTATTCGCATCACGTCGTAAAAAAGTCCAATTGAAATTGAACTGCACTGCAACTATGAATTTCCAATGTTTCTATTAGTTATGCGAACCATACGATTCGACGAGCAATGGAATTACAATTGCACAATGCATCCTCATTAAATCTACATAGCAATTTCTATAATTGCATTTGGAGACACTTTAAGACATTGAATCCCTTCTAAAACTGGGTAATTTATTCATCAGAATAATGCATTCTCGACTAATATGAGTGCACGTTGCTTATTGCGCTTATCTCTCTGGGAGCGGGAGGCAGTCAACTTGGCAATAATTTAAGCATAATCTCTTTTAGATCTCCGACTGAACTGATGCGAGAGAAATAAAGCAAAAAATGGGTTTGCCCTCGCAAGAACACTTCCAGCAGAAAGAAAGTCAAGGATTAAATGTCCCACTTAAAAATTCCATCACTCGCATCTCTCCTAAATTTTACATCAAGTTTTCCTTCTTCTTATCTCCAAAAGTAGTGCGGCGTTGAACTTCTCTTTGTCCTCACATGACAGGAACAGGATAGTGTTGTAAAGCTGTGGATGGTCCTATCCGGTTTTATTTTTTCCGTGCGTCAGATTCAACCCCACCCACTTTTTCGTCGTTGTGAGGAAGGAGGAACCCAAATTAAACTAGTGCTTGGATTCCATCAAACAAAAAATAAGTCCACCAACTCCACACAATACGATGGAACAATGACATGACAAAAAACCATCGTGCTATTCTTGTACATAAGTTTGAGTATCTATGACCGACTGAGGACTTCTGCCCAACCAATGCCATGAAAGTTGTTCTTATCAAATCAAAGGTGTCAAAGAGTTTTCTTCTATACTGTGAAAATTGTACACTTCATCCTGTCAGAAACAGCGTACCCGGAGGATGCAACTTTCTCCTTTCCTCCCTGTCCTTTAGGCCCGTAGAAAGCATTATGTTATCGAAGAACAGAATAAAATGAAAAGTGACAAGAAGATTTTGATGATGACTTCTGGCTGGTTGGCTAGATGAATAAGAGTCATGGAAGACATTGGTCTCCATTCGGGTGCATGAACACAGCTTATGAAAAGAAAATGGGGAATTGGAGAATCCAGTCTTGATTCTTTGGCTCTTATCGCCAGAAACAGAATGGGAATCATGGATGAGGTGTATGTATAATGGAAGAAAGGAACCATCCAAAGCCGGCTTATTCATACGGCTGGATGGACACACAATCCGACAGGCCGGATTCGCCAAATACGTATGTATGTACATTGTATGTATATTACGAGGGGGAATATGGGCAGGAGAAGCTTTACTATATGAGAGCAGCAGTGGGAAACTTTTGATACGACGAACTAGCTTAATCAACTGAACTATGACACTTTTAACTCACGAAATGTCATAAAATTAAATTAGACTTTATTCTGGCCGACATATCCTCGAATATGTATGCATACAGAAACGACATCCAACTATTTTACAACACTCGCTGTGTTGTGGGACGAATTTATTTTTTTTATAACAATTGGCAGAATTTTTCCAACCCAAACTAATGTAGACTAATTAACAACACCTTTTTTCATTTGTACACGACAATGTTCTCTAATAAAAAAAGGTCTGTTGGTAAAATAATTACGAGGAAATCAGAAACATATCGTAGGATGTTCTATATACGAATTATGAAATGATAATAAGGGTCATGGAACTGCATGCATACTATGAAAAGCTAGCATATGAATGTACGAAATTTCGGGAAAATGTTGAAGGAGTGACTCCTTTCAGTAGTGGTCAGAAAGAGCTTTAGTGCAAGCCGTGGTTGTTGTATAAGCAATGACGGCATTTGATCAAAGCATATAAAAGAAATCCCACATATTCCCAGCCCAATCTGTACTTGCGTTAGTAAAGTTAACCTTTGTGGTCGAAGATTGGATTTCGGAATTTCATTCAGACGTTCCCTTCTTTTCCACTCGAAAGACTGGAGCTTGGCGTAATGCGAATTGGAACGAGGAAGAAAACCGGAGAGAGGCAAAAGAATGCTGACCAAATCATGCTTGTATTGTGCTTTGGTTTCGAGGCGGCCCTCATCGGCGTCAATCCACCAATTTTTCTGTAGGCAAGGGTGTTTTTTTTACTGCTAAATCTTAAGAATGGCTCGAAAATTCCCAACGGATTTTGCAGTAGTCGAATTAATGACCTTGGCGTTGGAACAGTTTTGGCAACAAGTTGTGTAGAAAAATGAGTATCCATGCTGCTACAAATTTGCCAAATACTCGGAAGTGTAATGACGAGCGAAACTGTTTTCTTCTTTTATGGGTACTCCTCACAGCATACATAGAAGTATGAGAAACGGGTGGAGTTGTTAATTTGCCACCCACTTCTTCTCCTCGCCAGAGCAAGAACAATGTTGTTTCGTTTTATGGGATCTGAAATTTGCTATCCGGATGGGATACATGAATACATGAATGAACAAGAAGCCACCCGAAACAACAGCTCTATCCAGGGCTGAGGACAGATAACCATAATGTCATACTGATCCAGCCGAGGATAATAATGGCAGTGCTATCACAATAGTGACAACTCCCTCCCATCAGACAACGTGTATTCCGCCAACCTTTGTTCTCTAATTTTCTATAATAAATTATAAATATACTGCAGAATGAACTGTTTGCGTGACCGTTTGTTTGTCATATGTGTACTGACTTGATGTAGCGACAAATTCGTGTCAGTGCTGGAATTAATCATTGATTTTATTTTAGTGTAGGAAGAAATTGTTTGAAAAACGATCAAGAACGCAAGTTAAATAAATATATACACTAAACTCAGGAAATAATTGTTCTTCATCAATTTAAGCGCTTATTAATTCCTTAATTATTAAAATAATCTACAAAAGAGGAAGAAAAGATTTGTACTCACTAATGGTGTAGCGGATGGAGAAGAGGAAGAGTGGAGAAAGCTGTTGCGTGATCTCAAAGTGCCCCCTTTTGCCAAAAATGTACTCTTTCTTGGAAACTTTCCCTTTATCCTGTTTTGTTAATGTCTCAAACTTGAAAATGTTGTCAATGAAGAGTAACAAAATGTCAAATTATATCGGTTTCTCAACGTATAATACTACAAAATTTAAACGCTCGCTCAAGTCGTAATGAGCTTGACGGAATGTTGGAAAGTGGGCCAATTCATCTCGACTCGTGGGATGACCTGCACAATTCCATGAATTATAGAGAGCAAACGAGTGAGTGAATGTTTTCTCAAGAAATGAGATATGGGTGGATTTAGCAGCTAACTAAGTCGGGAGAAGGGATGTCAGCTTGTGGTCCGGTTTGAGATTCACTTCCTGCCAAATATAGCGTGATTGTATGTAAAAGTACTCCACTTTAAAGGTTCCAGTAGTCCAGAAGAGAAAAAGATTGTAGTGAGACCAGTGGTAGTGGTGGTTGTGTAATATTTGGCAAAGTTGCTTGAGAAAGATGTGAAATTGTGAGAGAGCTAGAGTGAGGAGTGCTGCGGATCGGTTGGAGTTTTATGACCAACTGGCATGCATTCGATGCCCGTCTCACTTCATAAAGTGTTTTAGTGGTCTCTCTCTGTTCGATGGATCAGTCAGCTCGTAGCGTCATAGCCAGTTTGATAGCAACTGGGATACTATTTCATCTCGACAATTCTTTCCCATAATTTTGCTCCTTAATATTGATCAGGTAATAACCACTTCAGCTAAAAGTCTCCAATAAGGTTAATGAGTTCTCATATAGATAGCAGTATAGTGCGAAGGTACAAGACGCATAGGTTATCCTGGCTCTTTATATATTGGTTGGAAACCATTTTGTTGTAGACAAATCTATATTTGTGCGGCAGGGTTGTCACCAGAGAACAAAAATTGTGGTTCTTGTTGTACAACAAAAACCATACGCAAGAGGATGGAATAGGATTCTGTCTCAATTTGTAGCCTAAAGATGCAAATGCCGAAATATGATATCATTTATGCTCATAATCAATCTAGCTCGTTCCCATCAGACTAAAAACGAAGCCCTTGAGCGATTAGCTGAATTATACTGGTCCTATTACGTAGATTGGGTTGCGTATATATGAAATTCGACCAGAACCCGTTAACAAAGCTCTTTTGAGCAAAGTTAAAATATCAATTACATTGGATAAATCTGTAGACCAGAGTATTCAGCCTCACATGCTAGTAGAAATTTAACTTACTGCGGTGGCCTTACTTATATTCCTTACAGGTTAAAAAATATATTATACAATTTAAGCAAAGACGTACCGAATTCACTAGGAATCTTATTCATCCATAACTTTCAACAACACGGGTTTACAAACTTGGCGACGATAAGACTAAGACTGGTAATGTAGCAAAGCAATGAATACAACTTCCTGTCAGACTATTACAAAAATATGGTATCCAGAATATAAACAGCTAATTATTACTAAAAGTTCTAATCAAACTGCAAATGTTTTAGTTCTCTCTGAGTCAGCTAACCACTCTGTTTTCTGTCTATGTTGTACTGCAGCATCTCTTGCTCGGTCTAACATCATGCCTTTTGTCAAAATTCCATCTTCAGAAGCGAAAGCAGTTGCCTGTGTGAGAGAGAAATCCAATTATAGTTATGGGAAGACGACACAATTACAAATCTGACGGTTCTTTATTACCTGCCAAGCTGATGCTAATTTCGCAATTTCTCGACCACTCATACCTTCACAGACAGTGGCAACTTCGGAACATACTTGTGAATAGTCAAACTCTCCTAATTTCATTCGGGACCCTCTTTTATCAGCTACTTCCAAGATAAAACGGTCAAAGTATAATCTGACGAGTCGCTCCCGTTCGTCTTTACCTAGTGAGTAGATAAATAAATATTATTTAGGTAAAATTAAATGTATGTACCTTTGAAGACTAAACACTAAACTAACTGATGTTATTACAGTTTGTCTTAGAAGAATGCAAAAAAATTTTTACCAGGTAGAATAAAATGTACCATCTCGTCAATTCGATCATTGACAGCGAAATCTAATTGCTCTAAAGTCATCAAGTTGGTCATAAAACAAGCACAACATTAGTGAAATCTTATGCAAGTCTTAACTTATCTGTCTAATCACATTACTTACCAGGAGTGTTGGATGCAACCACCACCATGATTTTCTTGGACTAGAACGGTCAATTAAAAAAATTGTTAAATGGAAATGGTAAAATTGGATTTTACAAATCAAGTTGTTGTATTCGATTTACTTGTTCACCAGTACGATACAAAAACGCGTTTAAAGCGGAACGCATTTCTTCACTCATTTTTTCTGCAGATCGTTTCCTTAAAGAAGCAGAAAAGAAAAACACGTAAATACTCTAAAATTATATCGGCAGTCGTTTTTTCTAAAATTTGATTCTGACGAAATTCTCGTTATCAATTCAACCATTAGAACTTTAAGTAAAAGTACCTCAAGAAAGCATCGGCCTCGTCCAGAAATAGAACAAGTCCTTTTCTGGATGCATGGGCCCAATCAAACACCTTGTGAATAGCTGTTACACCATCTTTCCCTAAGGGACCAACGTCTCCACCACTTAAAAGTGCGTAGTCCATTCCAGAATGAACTGCCAGTCTCTACAATGTACAATAAAAATTCAAATGTACAGTTCCAATTCCTCGAAAATCGTCTACTTTGCAGATGTACGCAAAACTTACTTTGGCGAATAAAGTTTTACCCGTTCCTGAGGCACACAAAAAAAAGAATGAGAAACACATTCTCAATATTATACATGTTGTTGTACAAGAAAATGAAACATACCAGGTGGACCATAAAACATAACATTTCTATGTGATCCCTTATTTGTTCTAGTATTTTTAGTAGCAATTGCAATGTCACGCAATCGTTCTTCAAGCTTCGGATGGAGCACAACTCCAGAAAGGGCTTCTTCTTGTTTCCTAAACAGCCGCTTAACTATTTGAATCGGGTGTTGAAAAAGTTCCAGCGGAGAAAATCTTGAGGTTTCTCTGACTAGTGATGGTTTTCCTAGGACAGCCTCCATTCTTCTTGCCGCAAGATAAGTAGTATTCTTTGCTGCATAAACACCTAGTGCAAGTAGTGACATTGCTCCTGCAGCCTTAACCATTGTGTCCCAGTCAGAAACAAATGATTGAAGACCAGTACCCACAACAGATCCAATGGTTCTAGGAAACAAATTTTTTTTAATGAGTTTCCGTTGTCATTTTATAAAATAAAATATGCATAATGTAATAGTACTTTATAGACTCTAATGTGGTAACTCGACCCTCTTGAGCCCTTAAACGGATTTGTTCCAAGTAAATGTCCCGATTTTCTCGCTCTACCTTTGCTTTGATTTCCGCCTCCTCTTTAACTCTGTTTTTTCTCTCTGCCTCCCGCATCTGAAGTTCTTTCATAACACTTTGCTGACGAATTTGTTCTTGCTTGGTCACAGATTCTTCTTGTCTTCGTAACGTTTCTTCTTGAGCCCTTTTCTGCTGTTCAAGTTGGTCTCCATATCTGTTTACATTTTACATGAACCATTATAGCCGATCAATAACAAATATAATCATAATGTTTTCAGAAAATAATCAGTGTAACGTTACTACCCACCGTCTCCGAGCGAGTTCATCCTCATACAATGCCTTCTGTTGATTAAGTTTTGACTCTTCCTGTAATATTTTCCTCCTCTCTTCTGCGGCCAAACGAAGAGAGTCCATTTTTGATTGTTCCGTCGCCGCTTGAAATTCTGCAATTCTTGCGTCATAGTCCTTTTGTTTCGTAGCTTCTTGAAGTTTTGCTAGCTCTAAAGCCTAAAAAGAAAAGAGTTTATAAATTACTCGGCTGAAAAAAAATGAATTTAAATCAATTGCATGATTCCTACTTACTTCTTTGGCATGTGACGATTTTTCTAGATCCTTGGCCGCTTTGAAAGTAACAATACAAGGTTAGTTTGACAATTATTTATTTAATGTAAACTGTTATTCTTTCCACCATCATTTTTATTTTTTAACGTTTCAATACTTGCAATAAGATGCAGGATAAACTGCTTTTGTACATACCGGCCGCAGCTCTTTCGAGTGCTGACGAGTCGAATCTGTAGTTGGACTCGATGCCTTTTTGAGCGGCTTCTTTTGCAGGGTCCTTCCCGTCCCCACCACTCCCACCAGCCGCCGAGTTGATGTCCACCCCCAGAATGTCGGAGGGGTTGGGGGCCGGCGGGGTACTCTTTATCCCAAACAACCACGACATGGCGACGACAAAATGTAGAAACGAAGCAGTCTAGATTAGCAAGAAGAAGAGATGACCGGCGAAATGTGAAATGTAGGGATGATGAAATGAAATGAAAATGAGCACATGAGTGGAAGTCAAAGTTGGAGCGAGATGAGAAATGTGAGATGCCCCAAAATGAAGAAAAAAGTACAAGTATGGCATAAGACGACAAAGAACTTTCCTTTCAATGTTTTTTTATGATAATTTCACTGTACGTAATATTTAAACTCCAATAAAACATCACATTATACTTCAGCTTCCTAAAATTACTACATGAATAAAGTATGTCCATTTGCTGGACTTACTATGTGTGCCATATTGTGAAAAAATATCGAAAGTAAAGAGTGCAAATAAAAAAACTAAAAATCTTTTATTAGTCAAATTAACGTTGCTAAATAAATCTTTGTATAAAATCCACCGGTGACCGAATTTCAGTTTAGTCGCTGATTTTCATCGTCCGTCGTTTCGTCAGCTTCGGTGTCCACGGCTGAGTCTTCCAGGGAATTTAGCTCGTCTCGACTCCCAGAACTTTCATCCCCTCGCCCTCCGTCCGCGTCGTCCGATGTTGGGCTCTCCAAGTCAGGAGAAAGGTTAACTGCCTTGGATGGTCTTCGAAACGTCCCCGCATTGCACTGCTCGATTGCTTGTCGAAGCTGCAAAAATAATGTGGAGATTAGCAAAAACAAAGCCTATGGTAAGTGCTATTGGGATTATGTACCTCATTCATTGCCACCACGCCTATGAGCTTCCCCGTCGCTGTCACATATGCATGTGTGATGCCAAGCAGAGAGAAAATGGAATGGACTTTTAGGAGTGTCTGTGAATTTGTAAAGTTTGTTTATATATGAAACGAGCAATAAATGATTGCAGAAATTCCACATGAGGCAAATTGAGACTACGTAGGAATGACAGGTATCTACTCTAGTCAATGAAGGTATTAAACATTTAAAATTTCATGAGTGTAAATAGTTTAAAAAATCTTACCGTAGTAGCCACGAGTTGAAAGGGGGCAGCGTCGATGGGGCATTTTGTAAAATCTACAGCTTTCTCCCTGTAAATTTAATTATGCGTATCATGAAAACTCAACTTGTCAATCTGGATACTTTTGTTTGAGGCTAACGAGATTGTATTGGAAAATATTTTGAATTCGAGTATGTATAATAATAATATTACACATACTTTCACTCTCGGTCCAAATGAGTGATCGGTCAAGTGGGGAAAAATACTCTACCTGGTATTACCATCAGTCATTTATTGTCTACGGGGTATATACTTACATTTCTTCCTCCTCCCAAACTTTCTGATCATCTACTGACATGTCAATCACTCGTTCTCGAGGCTAAGTAAAAACATGAGGGCTAGTTTCAAATTTTTTATTATGTGGGCTATTTATTAGGATTAGTCGAGGAAAATATCTCACCAGCTGCACAGTCTTTTTTGGTACCGAGATTTGTGGTGGTGAAAGTACTGCTTCCGAAACGTTAAGTTCGCCCCCTACAGAATCCCCAGGTTGCGCGTCTTGTAGTGTAGCAGACTTTTGAAATATGGCATGAAAAGCGTTCCTTACTCTGCTCTCCGCCCCAGTTACCTTCACAAATGTTGGAAAACGAAGGTGGAAATAATTAATTCCTTATTTATAAATTACCACATTCTCGCAAATTCTACGCAGTTTGACATCGATAATACATAATGCATTTCGAGAACTTCATTTATTTATCTTTTTCGTCACGGGTAGCTCCAAACAATAGGTATTAAACTCCTTACTTGTTCTTACCGTCATATATGGAGAAAATCGACTCGGGGATTGCCCAAAATTGTGCAAGGAGAAGGAATTGGTTTTCTTTAAGATGGACTTCATCGGTCTTCCGTCGCAGGTAGGGCTCAGCAGAGATCCAGATCCGCCCTGTGTCATCAGCGCCTGAAAGTAAACACAAATGTCCAAGAACATAATCAAAATAATCGATCTCGCGGATTAAGAATCTGGTATAATGTTGCTTACGGGATCTCGGAATTGCATTTGGTCAGAGGAACGAACACTGTCGTTCGAGTCGGCCTTGGAGGTGATAATGGACGGTACGGGGACCACTTCGAACCTTGATGGCCGACGGGCTCTCATTTCAATCAACTGTTGGCGTTCCATTTCTTCCTGCGCCCTCGCCGCGGCTTCTCGGTGCCATACAGCAGCGGCCTGTATTCGGCGCTCACGACCGATATGCTTTTCCAGCCCCTAATCGTAGTTTGCATAATAATATTGGATTAACAATAGCCTATGTTTTAAATTTAAAAGTTCATAACACACTTTAATCAAATGCTGTCTATGAATTGAACCCAGCAAGATCATCGAACTCGGATTTTCCACTAGAGGAAAGGAGCTGAGTGTCCGATTATCTTTGAGAATAGTCTTCATCTCTGTGTAGCTCATCCCGTACCAAATAAATTTTACGTTTCGTATCATAAAGTCTTTTACGGTAATGTTGTACGCTCCAGCTAAATATATAAATGGGCAAATTATAAACTCATAAGCGTACAATGAAAAAAATTCTGGCTAACCTGAACTAGATGGGATAAAATCGGGTAAGTAGGGCAATTTTTTAATCATTGAAATAGAGTCAAACAATGAAGGCTGGAAGATAATATTAATCAAATTAATTATGTACCTAATAATCAGTAACTTTGACATATTTACAATTGTTGGAATACCTGAAGAACACCAGCCACCGCGTTTGCAATAAGTACGCTAATCATCACCGGAATAATATGCGTTATCTGACCTGTCATTTCTGAAAACAGCAATTGTCATATTATCATGTTATCGTATATTATCCGTACTCATAAGTGTATAAGTACCATACAAAATGCTCGTGATTGTTTTTGATCGGGTAGAAAATGTTACTACGCACTATTCGACACACTTCGCATCGAAACTCACCCGACACAATAACAGCTATAGAAATTGTTCTTGTAACAGCTCCAGACAACGCGGCTGCTCCCACAACAGCATAACCCCCTAAATAATGTCAAAATGTTATACTTAATCAATTACCATATTATAGATCTTAGTGTTAATTGTGGTCTAAAAATTTAGGTAACCTGGCACAATTGGCCATTGTTCTCCTGAAAATCGGATACCATTTGGGAACATTACAAACATAGCTTCACCAAAAACTCGACCTAGAGCTGCGCCCATTCTGCAATTCAAAAGCAATAATCATTTTCTGTTTATCATTCAATCACTATTAAGATTTTTTTCAAAATGCTCATAGAAATTCTCAAAAATTATTCCATTTTATCACCAACAGTACTAACTTGAACACGGGTACAAAGTTGCCAGACGGGACCGGCAGAGTCGATGCCACAATGGAAAGCAAAAACTGTAATCATTGAATGAACATTCTCATTTTCATCATTGCTTCTCACGTCAAGAAATGAAAATTTACTTTACCGTAACAATGAGAAATAACGTGCAATTAACAAAGATTCCTGTGTAAGGATTGATCCAGTGCTTCATAATGGTAACTTCCTCCACAGTAAAGTTTTCTTTTGACCATGAAAAGTTTGAGAACAAAGTAACTACCTGAAAAATATGTCATATTTTTAAGAAAGTTTTTATAGCATTTTTCAGACTGCAAAGAAACTACCTGGTCATGCCTGTAAACCAACAATTCGGTAATTAATATAGATGGATTTATGTGCGTACATATGTAGCTTAATTGCTTATACTTTTGCTGCCTTACGTAGTTAGTTCACCGGCAACAAACTGTCCAAATCCCAGAGGAAAGTGTACTGAAGCAATGAACCACGAGATCAATGCCGGATATATGAAACGACTATTGAAATTATAAAATATTATCAAATAATCAATCAAATCATGATCAATTAGATGATCAATCAAACAATGCAAAATATTAGATGTATTACTTTTGTTGTAGAAAGGCGTTTAACTTCTTATTTCCTCTCATAAATAAGACATACTTTCTATGCATCCATACAAACAATGCACCTAAAAGACCGGACACAACTCTGGAGAAAGTTTGTGTAACGAATTTAATCATTATATCGCACGGTTTTCAAGAGACAAGTATAAGAAATTACCCAATGATTGCATATACAATAAGTTCTAGTGGATCATAAGGGAATTCTCCACCAAAGTTTGTTTTGAACACAGGTTTGAGAGTTTCTAAAAAACGTTGAATTATAATTTATGAAGTATGCACCTCAGATTATGCTGTGTTATGCAGGTGAGTCGTATACCTACCGTGTCCTTGAAACCAAACGGCCAAGAGTCGAAAAAATGTTGCTCCGACCCCCGCGGCAAAGAACCCTCTCCAGTAATTTCGGACAGCAAAGTAGACTGCTGTGACCTCGATGCTAAATAGAACTCCACCCTGTTTATAGTTACATCATAATAATGATTACACTGCTATACTTCACAATATTATTATTTATTACAAATCGAGCCATATAATTCTCGGACGAATAGAAAGCATGGCATAGAAAGCATGGCATGTCTCACATACCCCAAATCGCTTTCTCTCTCTTCCACTTCATTCAAACTCCACATTTTCATCATCCCTCTCTTATTTCTCATCATCATTTTAAATTTTGTTCTCATTAAAAAAATAAGTTTTTGAAAAAATGGATCGTTTCGTTTTGCGGCTCAATGCCACTCCCACTCAGTCAACCTCCACCCCCGCTACTTCTTCCGGAATGGACACACCTCCTCCATCGCCTGCAGAACAACCCCTTATAAAGAAGACAAAGACTGACGAGGGGATAATAGTGCCCCAACTAAAGAGAGCCACCGCAGTGGATTGGGAGACAAGGTTGACCTTGAATGAGGACCGTGAGCTCGGCTTCATCAACTCTCAGGAAGAGTTTGAAAATTTGTATGGTGAGTATGGTTGTTTTTTTTGTCATCTTCTTCTGACTATTCAATTCCTCAATTTAATATATATAAATTATTTAATTTGTAGCTCCTCCCACCCCCTCGTCGTCCAGTACTGTCCCCACGCCGAGCAGAAAGACAGAGTAACACTGTTTAATCCCACAGATCATGATGTCGCTCCTCACGACCCTCCACAACAATACGACTTCCGAACCAGTCGAGCAGATCCATCTTATCAACTGTGACATCAATACCAATGCAGGGAACTTGGAGGAGGTGAAGAAAGCGCTCGAGTTGAACGACATGGGGTTTGAAATAGGGGATGACAACATTTCTCTCTCGTTCGCACTTTCTCCTCATATTCCCACCTCGTTCAACAACAAACTACCCTATGTCTATGTTGGAGATAACAAGGAGGGAGGTTATCGATTCGGAGAAGACCATTCAGAGAAACGTGAGTTTACTATGAAAGGATCTAAAACGCACTCTACGGCAAAATTCACCACCATGAAAGGGATCGACTCCAAAAACATCCACAACGTGTTCCAGGCTGACCCCACCACCTTCACATCAAAACAAAGTTTGCAAAAGATGAAGGAGGTGGAGACTTTAGGCCATAAGGGGGTGCTAGTAGCTCAAATGTTGGGAATGAAGACTGTTGATGGTCATAATGTTTATAACTTGGCTGAAAAGTTTACTCATTTCGACCATGGCTGGGAAGATGGTATTTTTAGCGATCTGATTGCAATGATGACGGGGAAGGGGATTGTTGTAAAGAAAGAAAAGCTCAAAGCTGTTCCTACTGAGGTTAAATTTATGGTTCCAATTTATAAGAATATGGGTGTTGGAGAGAAAGCGAGACAAGTATTGGATGTTGATAAGATGAAGAAGGTTAGTGTTCAGAAGAAAGTTTATGAGAAAGTTGTTATTTCTTGAATTTAAAAGTTATGTGTTAAACAAACTGTTCGATGTTGATTGTTACCGGTTTTTTTGTTAATGAACTATTTCTATAAAAATAAAATTTGAATTCATAGAAAATAAACGAGAAAACGAGAAAACATACCACGGGGGCAGCGAAACAACAGGCAACTCCGACGGCACACGCAGCTGGTAGGAAATTAGTATTTATTTAATATTATCAGGTTCTAGTTCTACAGTTATTTTCAGCCCACCTGCCAACATTTCGTTACTTCGAGACTCGTTTTCATAGATCCCTTGGAAGGACTGAAGTTTACTGAGAAGGGTCGCCACCATAGAGCCGATATGAACAAATGGTCCCTGAGAGAAATCATAGCGTCAGTTGTAGACAACTTCCAAATTAAACTCTACGTGCTACAAAACAACCTCTTTTCCTAGGGGCATCCCTGAAAAATTAAACAGTTTTTGAAAACATTTTTAAAGGCATGAAGGGAATCCAGGTAAAAATTTACATACCACTCCCTAACGATGCAGTTAATCCCACAACTTTTGCAAATAAAGTCCGAAACGTTAAATACTGAGAACAATCAATTAGTTAAGTTTTGATATTATAAATATTTTTCTACAAATTCATTATTTAAAACGTTAATGAACCTCTTTTAATGTAACTCCGCGTAAAATAGTCTTCATTTCGGGAATTCCACTCCCTGGTTATTTGCAATTATATTATTATTTGCAACATTGATTGAAATAATTATTAAATATTTATGTGTAAATAATCACCGATAGCTTGGGGTGCTATTATATGGACCTATAACACATTCACAACTTATTACATTTCGATGTAAATTGTTTAGCATGAAACACAACAAACTTCAAATCATCAAGGCGTAACCCAAAACATCAGACACGCCAGGAAAAGTGTTTCAAAGCCACGCTCAAGGGTGTTTGCATCTGCAGATGGAACCCTGGCGCTCTGCCGCTGGTCACTTGTGCGCAGAGACTTGCGGAATATTTACCAAACGTTGCCATTTTATAGAAATTAGAAAATCGAAAGTAGATACTTTAAAATGTCGACGTCTTCTACTTAGCTCTAATTCTGACCTTGATTTTAACCTGATATTATAATATTTTTAGCAAAGTACATATTTTTCCGCTTTATATTAGTTAACTTGATTTGCGATTTGAAATTTGATTTGAGTACATGAATTAATAAATCAATTAATTACCAAGCCTGCAGAGAATAAAATTAAGCACACCGGAAGAGTAATCCATGCTACAATTCCAAAACACAAAATTAAGTTTGGGTCCTGAGTGATTTGACTTTGCTGTCTCACCCAAATACTGGACGGATACATGATAGTTTAAATCCAAATAGAGCCAAATTCTAGCTGTAACCGTTTTAAAGTAAACGGCATTTTCAAACTTTAGACGCAATATTTTGTGTTACAATCACCAATCATATATACATAAGCGTCACCTTTATTGCAAATACTAATTCCCCAATCCACCATGAAACTGATGATAGCCATTAGAATTCCTAAAATGGCAAGAAACACCCAGTCCTCTCCCAGTCTGGCAAATGTATTCTGCCAGACGAAGGAAAAGCCTTTCTTGATGCCCTTAAGGTACCGGTTACTGGATCTTTCCCGAAGTTCCTGCTTCCGCATTTTGTCCTCTCTCCTCCGCTTTTTCTCCAGTAATTTAATACGCCGAGCTTCATCTTTGGCAAATTGACCCAAATTTTCGCTAGTGTAGCGACCATACATCTAGAAATCATCAGGGACTTTGTTAATCATGTATCATTTAAACGTGGTATTTGCGTGATTTTAAAAATTACCAAAGTATGTTGATAACCCAGTTCAGCACTTTCGGCTTTCGAAGAACCCGAGATTTTCTTCCCAGCAACAACTGTTGCTCGTGGCTTACTATTAGCGTCTGATGATCCCATGATTGTGGGTTTTGTCTTGGATCCAAGATTTTAGGCTAAACTTTAATTAATTGTCTTGCGTTTGCCAAATCTCTCCTAATGTCACGTTGTCACTCCAAACAACATTATAGGAACTGGAACTGTATCTAGTAGCCAAAAATGATCATAGTCAGAGATATAAAAAATTATCAGAAAAATTACAATTCATTTCCTCCAAATATATGAGAACTCGTCTATGTGACTAGAACTGACTTTTTGCATAAATATACGCTCGTCTTATACATAAGCAATGGGATTATTGTTGTGTATTATAAACAGGATCGTGACAATAACTAACCAAGCCAAAAACAAATATTATGCGTAAGAGTCAAAAGTTAACACGAGAGGAATTGTGTTACGATGCGGAATATTATGTGAGCCGATAATAAATAAGTGCTGTGCAAATTATGTGAAGGACTGCACTGCTATTTAACCAGCTCGCCATGGTTCTCCCATTTTCATGAGTCCAGTCAATGTCAATTCAAAACTACATACATACATTCATCATATGGAACAGAGTAATGAAATTATATACGAATTACAACATCCATTAAATTTATATTATGGCCACTTTCACGAGTGTTAACAGCGTTAGGGTCTTGTCAAACACGAGTCATTTACGCTTATGCACATACATATACTTATATACAGTGGAGTTATCTTGCCATGTTGACATTTGACAAAACACATCGATTACAACAGAATGGTGAGATGATCATCTCTGAAATCTCTGCATACCTCTTAAAATACCAGCATTTTTACATTACATTAAATCTGCGGGGTCTCAATATAAACTTGCTCCTTAATAAAACAGTGCAACTGATTAAGAATAAATAAATGGCGAGTCTATGCAGTCAAGTGGGTTTCATTGAAGTTGTGTTCCAATAACATTTGCAATCAAAAGAAACAAGTTGATAAAACCAAATTGTAATGACGTGCAGAGAATGGAAGAGACGCTACAAAATTACTAAAGTCATGGCATGGTATGAGTAGTAGAGTAGTATTTATTTAACTTGTGCGTTAGAGAATCACACATAACAAGGAGAGACCTTTACAAAAAGTAGTTGGTAATATCCAGTGAGATTGAAAGCCAGTTGTAGTTGGATGGATCTTTATTACCAATTCTACTCCAGCAGGCATTAAATGGGTCCATTCTTCTCGTCTTCTTAAGTGCAAACCAGATTTTACCAGAAATGTATTATCATTGCATTGCACCTTTTTGCAGATCAATTCAACTTTTCTTGCCTCATCGTCTCTCTTCCAATCGAAAAATAATAAGCCCTGTTTTCTTGGTCATCTCATCGCATATTATGAATATATAGCCTTCATATATTTATTCAACTGAGCACGCTGTATAGTCACTTATTCGGGATTTTAGATTCATGTTACATACATTCTTGCTGGATTTTCTTGTTGGTGACGCCATGTGGACAAGAAAATACTTACGGAGTATGGCACTTGCTGGTGCCTTCATAATTATAGTATACATAATATTTAATATTAGCAATTTTGAGCGTACATATACACATGTGCTTGAATGTAATAAACAACAAGGTGCATTTGGATGAACACCAATAAACGAGAGCGGATTAAGGTTATCTAATTGACGAAAACTGATAAATGTACATTAATTATGCAACATGTTTATTGTTATTAGAATAACTATTACAATAGGCAACACGGTCCAACTCATTGTCTACTAACATATATTTACATATATAGAAGCTAAATTATTTAGCAAGTCCTTGTACGAGAAGGGGTGAATGAATGTTCTCACTTCTCATGTTGACACCGTCATACCGGCTTTTCTGATGTACTTTTTTGTATTATGCTCATAAAATAATTACTGACAACACAAATCAGCACCTCTGAGGAGGGGAGCTTGCGAGGTTGATAATAACAGATATTGGTGCCCTTTGGATATGTGGTAGGGACCCATGAGTGTACTAAAACCCTGAAGTAGTTTGACTCCATGGCCACATTTGCGCCCGCCACACCCACTCAAAAATGCCCAAAAAACGCTTTCACTCGAGTTTTCACTCACTCAAATCCACGTCAAAAATCCAATTTTACTCGGATTTTGAAATTTCTTTCACCATTATACTCCCAGATAGTTGCTTTCTTCAATCCAATATCAAACTCAATTTTATTGATGATTATTTCGCAAACATAATTTGTTTTGTTGATGACTACAACAATGCTCATTCAGAATTTTAAATTTTAAAAATACTAAACATTTCGAAAAAATTGAGTTTGATATTGGATTGAAGAAAGCAACTATCTGGGAGTATAATGGTGAAAGAAATTTCAAAATCCGAGTAAAATTGGATTTTTGGCGTGGATTTGAGTGAGTGAAAACTGGGGTGAAAGCGTTTTTTGGACATTTTTGAGTGGGTGTGGCGGGCGCAAATGTGGCCATGGAGTCAAACTACTTCAGGGTTTTAGTACACTCATGGGTCCCTACCACATATCCAAAGGGCACCAATATCTGTTATTATCAACCTCGCAAGCTCCCCTCCTGAGTTTGCACATCGTTTAAATAAGTTTAACGAGTTTGTGTTGTTAAATCCTGCATTACTTCCACTCTGGAAGTACGTATGTACATACATATGTACATAGTTGACTTGAGATTCCGCATGCAAATGAAAAAATACTGAACGGACAAACAAAAGTTTTCATGACCATTCGACCATTGTATGTCCACAAAGTATTAAATTTATAAAAATCAAAATACGTAGTTCTGGAAGCAATTAGTTTGCGATTACATTTGTTGGTTTATTTCGTTTGGTTGAACAATTCTGGAGCCGAGCTGCTACATAAATATTCTGATTATTTAATGCAAGCATAATTTTTTAGAAGACCGAGGATCCCTAGAATCAGTTTGTCGTCGTTAATTCATTCTTGAAGTAAAACTTGCTTAAGAATCCTGAATAATGTTAGGAGTAAAAATGTCTGTATATGTATCACATCAGACTATTTATGTCGCACACGATGCCAGTCTAATAACTAAGATAGTAATTATCATAACGTTATTATGCAAGTCAACGCGTTCTACCTGTCTACCAAGATATTGCTGCTGCTCGCTCTGTGTTAATTTACTTAATCCACATGCAAACCGTCGTCGTAATTATAAACGACTGTCGCCTTAAACCAATCCCCTCCCAAAAAGATGCTGCTGTTGCCAAAAACCTTGCCACGCCAAAGGCGACTTAAATATTCTGAAAATACCAGGTAGACAATGTAATGTAAAAAATGTTACGAGAGAGAAAAATTGCAAGCCACACAGGCCAGATAAATATGAGCTCACATTCACATGCATACTTGCATAATAAATTTGCACATTATTCCAGGGACTTTTAAGATTACAATTTGCAAGCGTATTTAAACAATGATTTTGTTATTAATATGTTGTTTAGTTGAATGAACAACTTTTTTAAAAGTAAACGTCATTTGTACCTGCACAATAAGATCCGTTTTCGAAATCATTCTGATCTATATAATGATAGCGTGCGTATCGCATATAATAATCCATCTTCAGCCCAGATACACAAAATCATGCTAAAACTTTACTTTTATGTTATTTGCTAAAATTGAATGTGACACTGACTTGCATTGAAATAATTCTTATAGAACAATACACCTCAATTTAACCCCTCTCAGTCACAGATTCACACAAACATTCACATCAAATCGAAACTCTGATTATTTAAGAACTATTAACAATTAAATAAGACACACTTTCCCAATGTTCATGCAAAATGTGCATTTTCTATCATAATTTCAGAACGAAACTATTAATCCAAGAGCAATTATTTAATAGCTGGTCCTCCTGCATTCTAATCGTAGCCAAAAATTCGCAGGGTAGCGAAAACAAAGATGCACGCCAATAAATAGCTCAAGAAGAAGCTTTCTTAACCGATCTCATGGACTTCTCCAGGTCGACTAAATCCTACGTGCTCGTGGTAGCACGCTGGATGGTGGCAGAGAAGCACAAGTTGCAGAAGAAGAAGGGGTGCAAGACCAACAAAGCGATTCTTCGTGTTGCATGCAAATAGCAGACGGATGAGAAGTTGCTACGGATTTTTTTTTTACTCGCGATTGCTTTTTCTTCTTCCCCTTATTACACAACACACGTTACGGATTTTAGGTTACAGTCTGTCATTCAGCGAGCCAGCTCAGTCAGTTTGGGCATCGGGTCTGTGCCTCCTCTCCCGCTCCGTTCAAACCACTTTCACTCGATCTCTCTTCCTTCTCTTCCGCCCACTTTCTCCATTTTCACCAGCACCACCCACTCCTCTAGTCAGCTGAGATTAGTGTCAAGTCGTTAAAATAGTCAGTCAGTTTGTGTGAGTGCATGTGTGGAATGCTTTAATTTGTTTTTGTTACTATTTGTTGTTTCGGTGAAAGAAGGAATACGAAAATAATACTGTCAAAGTAAAAGTCCAGTCCTGACCTATACTATAGATTGTTACAGGTGTGTGTGTAAACATTGAGGTTACTAATTGCTGTGTAAATTATATATTAAATGTATGAAAAGTTGTAAGTTTTCATAATATACGCATGTTTTTTCAGATATCTGCGAGGAATTTGTCCAGATTCGTGTAGTATTTTTTCCGAATAAAAATGTGAAAACAAATACGGTGGACAGGTAAAAGTTTAATTTTTGTTTTGGTAATGGTGGTGGTTTTAATAAAGACTCGGCATTTAAAAAATGTGGTGGTTGGGGAAACAATGCGGTTAAGCTTTTAGCTTTAAAAGAGTTTAAAGGCGGTAGTAACCATTGAAAGTACAGATTTCATACGAAAATTCCTGTGGTGTGCTTTGGGCTTTGTTTCCAGAACAGTTTTGCTACTATTATACATGCATGAACAATACAAATACATGACGTCATAATATAAACCTATTCTCGATGGTCTGAAATTGACCAAATGATATATATCGTTTCATTTTCAGTTAAAATGCAGTAAGAAATAGTAAAATGTCAATATTTATTTACATATCAGGATTGGGTATAGGTAGAACTTATATTCATTAAGCATGGCTGCGTGTCGGGGTATGTATGTAAGATAACAATTGTGGATAACAATTCTATGTTCATTGCATCTCTGAATTATTCTGAACAGGGCTGGATAGTCGAGCCTGGTAAACGGATTCAATGTATTATGCATGACACCATTTTATGAATTCGGTTGTTTCTTATGGTTTTAGAGTTTGGCACGCACAATCATAAAACAACAAAATACAATTCATTCCGACTTTATTCTTCCCATTGTATTTATTGACAGCTTTTGTGAAAAATTGAATTGAGTAATGAAATGTTATTTATACAGAATATGACATTTAAATCCTATACTGACTCACATATTTAGTGTATTGCTGGAGCTGGACTTGGAGCTGTGATTGTACTGTAGTTAGTCAATGTATTATTTTATACATATTTTCTGTTGTTGTATTGAGGGATTTTGCACTTTACATTGTCATTTTGCATTAGGTGCATGTTGTTGGTTGGCCATCAGAACACAAAAAAGTTGACCTTTGTAGAGTCCGATAATGTTTAAAAACTAGTGATGACGAAAACCATTTCGGCGAAATGATTTCGCCCATAGTCGATAAATAGTGTAAACAGCATTAACATCAACTGCACTTCTCACCCTAATCAGATATAGTCTAAAACGTCAAACAATGGAGAGGAAACAGGCGTTCCATGTGGAAGTGGAGTAAATGTGAATACATAAGTAATACCATTAAAGGCACAGGCAGGCAGGACAGGATGCAGTAGATAATGAAATTCGATATACAACTTAAAAAACACAGCATACGAGTTAGAACTATTTTGTATAGCTCTTTAACGTTCTGGTGGTTTAATCCTCGAAATTGCGTGAATCTAAATACTATTGGTCACACTTGACAGGGCGACTTCCACTAGCGTTAAATTTAATGGATCAGTTAGTGAGTGATACAAGTAAGTGTGGCAACAAACGCCGGTGACGCGACTACAATTTTGCATTATCATGTTAAATTGGTGCATCTGTTTGCATTCCTAATCAGTTCTCACAAACTGGAAACATTTCTACTTAGGATTAGCAGTGGCGGTGTTTAGTAATAAAAGCATAATTTGCTAGGAAAGACTTGGTTAGAACTTGGTTCATAAATAGTTTTCAATCATATAACAGTTATTCCGACGGTTTTTTAAGGTATTACTAATTGATCCAGTTAATTGGCAGAAGGAACCTAATATTACACATTATTCATTGTTACCATCAACCATAATGCCACGCATTTGGTTGACTTTGTCAGAGTATGCATTGTCTTGCATGAAGTAACCTTGAGGGGGTTTGGAAAGTTGTTAATTGCCCGATTTACTTCAGTGTTGTGGGGCTGGTTCCAATAGTGCATACGCTGAACGAACTTTAAATATTTAATATCCCTAATTTCCAAGTTTTGCCATCTTTGTAATACATAACGTGTAATTTCCAGTTGAAACCATCAGGTATTAAATATGTCACTATATTTATTTAGACAATGGTATAGTAATCGCAGGAATTTATCTTCATTAATACTGTGTTAATAGTATTATTATTATTGGCCGGTGGTGTGTTGTCTCACCTACTTAAGTTATCTGACATTTTTCCACCATATTTTTCGTGACGTGTACTGTAAATGTTCATACGTGTGTATGTACATACGTACATACACCATATTTTATACGGATAATACTACGCTGTGTATCAGAATGATGCACTAATCTCAAGTTTCTTTTGTGAGCAATAAAGTTTACCAAATTAACGCTTTTTTGTAGCCTGACTTGACTTTGCTGTTCGGGAGCAAGTAATATTTGGACATAATTCTTCTTCTAACTCTACAACTTTGTAAATTTGATGGTGGAGGGTCACGAAAGGCCGTGCCGATAGTAGTAGTTTCATTAACCATGCTGGCTGGACGACTTGGGAGAAGTTTTATTATAACTCTGTCAACCGGAATTCTGTTTGGGTTTGGATTCGCCTATGTCCTGCTCAATCTTAGTGCAGACTCTTCTTACACCAACAACTTAATCCCGTCCAGGTTTCTTTACTTTTTTGCCTTTTTTTATCTATTAGTGTGCACACCTAATTCAACTTTTATCCATATATCTAATACATAATTTGACTTTTCAGATTGACAAGTCTAGCGGCGGGAGTACTTGATGACCATGGTCATGGTCACAATCATGATGAAACTGATCCTCATTCCCATGGGTCGCTGGATGATGTAGCTGGCCCTCGTGACGAAGTTTCTCAGCATTCTTCAGACGAAGCAATGCACAAGGGAGCAGATATTGAAGCACAACGCTTATCCAAAGAAGGTACATTTATAATTATGTTTAAAATGTACGTATTTTATCTAGGAAAATAAATTTCAATGTAACTAATTTGATTTCTCAATTGCAGTAAGAGTTCTTTGTTGGATTATGACAAATCCAGATAATCACGAGAAGAAGGCTATCCATGTGCAGCGAACCTGGGGAAAAAGATGCAACAAGCTTGTCTTTATGAGTTCTACAGCAGGTAATAATAAAAATAAAAATTTCGCCAATTTTCCTAAAAGTTGTAAAGTGTGATCAGCAAGGTGTAAAATAACACTTTTGTTGCATTTGTGTTGGATTTATTGATTGATTTGGGTGTGGTGATAAATGATGTCTCGCTATATAATTTGCAGTGCTTGTTTAAATTAATGCATTTTAATTTGCTTTGCATAGATCCTAAACTTCCGAGTATCGCACTTCCCAATGTTGAAGAGGGACGAGATTTCTTGTGGGCGAAAACAAAGGAAGCTTTCAAATATGTATACGAACATCATTTCGATGAAGCAGATTGGTTCATGAAGGCCGATGATGACACGTACGTCATTGTTGAAAACCTTCGCTTTATGCTGAAAGATATTGATCCAGAATACCCTATTTACTTTGGGTGCAAGTTCAAACCTTATGTCAAACAGGGTTATATGAGTGGTGGTGCAGGTATACACATATTGGATATGGGTTGAAATACAAAAGAAGATAAACATTATAATAATTTCAACTTATTTTTTAGGGTATGTTCTCAGTAAGGAAGCTCTAAGGCGATTCGTTGAAGATGCTATTCCAGACAATAATAAGTGCAGGAAGGATCATGGAGGAGCCGAAGATGTTGAAATGGGTACGAAAACTAAATTAGTATCAAAATATTTAAATGGACAAATGTGCATATAAAATAATCATGCAACCTAATTCAGGAAAATGTATGGAGAACGTGGGGGTAGAAGCTGGAGATTCCCGGGATCCGTTAGGTCGCTATCGTTTCCTACCCTTTGTTCCAGAGCATCATGTTATTCCTGGTCATGTTGACGAATCCTTTTGGTACTGGAAGTATATCTACTATCCACAACAACAGGTAATGCGTGCTTTTCTATTTGGTCACCAAGCTTTTAAACGGATTGGTATTGTTTAAAATTTGAATTATAATAATATTACAGGGCCTGGGATGCTGCAGCGACACTGCCATATCATTCCATTATGTCAATCCAAACCAGATGTATGTATTAGGTGAGATTAGAACCAAACAATATTTTATTCAAATACCCTCTATCTCTATTACATTATTACTAACAATTGGAGCACAAGCCACCTAAATTGCAGCCTAAATTTTTTTGTCACAAATTGTCAGTTTAATAGACCTTTGTAAACTAAACTCTTTGAACAATTCTGACAGTCGGTTTTATACCGACGTCGGTATAAACCGCTATATTTTCAGCTTATGAAAAATACATAAATAAAAAACTCGATGCTGAATTTGTAAAATAAAGCAAGAAAATAATTCTACGCATTTTTATACTTGCGCCAAAATTCTCAAAAATTGCAAGATTTGGAAAATATGATTTATATTTTTGTTAAATTTCACCACAAGCTCAAATCGCGTATTAAGAGAAATAAGAGTCTGTTTATCTTTTGCTTCCAACAAAATTAAACTGTTCCTACTTCCTACCAAAATTGAAGTTATACTCATGAAAGATTTGCATTGTTCGTTTTGGAACGTAGGTCAATATCTTAGCGTAGGAGTGGGGGAATTTGGTGCGAGGAATTTACTCGAATTTAGATTAGTAACGCAGTTTTTGACAGAGAAACCTAGCATTTTCGCGAACTTGCAATGTCCATATAAGTTGCTGAATTTCACATTGCCTTGGTTAAGTGCTGAACGAACTATAGCTTACAGTAATTTGTCTCAGATGGTGGATGGACTGCGTGACTCGCAAAAGGATAAATAGCTTGCTCTCCAATTGTTAATACTCCATTTAAATGTTATTCTTTATTTTATCGTATTTTTTCAGACTATTTAATTTATCATTTGAGGCCTTACGGAATCGCACCGCATTTCCATGATCCTGGAAAAAATGTCAGTGAAGCGCCTAGTACTACAACCTCCCTTCCTGAAGTCAAAGAACTAGAAGGAAATGAATCTACTCCACCCAAAGAACAAGAGTCAATTGCAACAGAACCAGTGTCAAACACTCTAGTCAGTAATAGCGAAGTTAAATCTTAGCATTCCTTCCAGCCAGCAACAGAAAGCTAGCTATGGTGTCAAACAGGTCTCTATTTTAGCAGTAATTACTTGTCGCGAGGATCTACTACTTTCTTTTTAAACTTTTACACTATTCGTGATATACGACTGCAGTTAATAATCCTAAAAGCATTCCCTCCAGAAAATACATGATCATGATAATGCAACGTAATCACATTTGTAAGTAGTGCAATGGAAATTCTCTCCATGAGATTTATAGTATTGTATATAATTTGATAAATTTTACAAGGTCAAGTATTTTAAATTGTGGCAAATTACTTTTTTTACAGTGTGTCCAATGTTCTTACACATGTTATGTATCTTTAATACCAATGTATGTTTAATATAAATATAATATTTGTCATTTATTAGTACGTGTACGACTTCACTAACAATGCTGTGTCATCATCTAGTCAGCGATAAACTGTCATTAATATTAGACTAATCCTTTTACCAGCAACTTTATTCACTTTTATAATCAATTTTACCTGTGATGTTTAATACCAATAGTGTTGTCAAATACGAAACATAATACATGCAACGTATAGGCTAATAAATTATGCCGCACGTTGGTTTATGGGTGGCAGATGTATAAACGAAACTATATTTAGCCCAAAGTCATGGCCAAAGTCCAAAAAATGAACGACTCTCTAAACCAAAGTTGACTTATCTAAAATAAAATGCGCTAGTGAGCTTGTCGGTGAATCTTTTAGAAACAGTTTTTGATGAATGTGACAGTAATTGATATTAGAAATTAGAAAATGACGATTAGCTATAAATATATAATTACGCCAGGATGTTTAATATTTGGTTTATATGTTAAAATATTAAAATGATGGTGATTAAAGAAATAGTTTGATGAACAAAGTCCATGCATGTATAAACAATATTTCGTTCATATATATATACCAGATGAATGCAATTCATGTTAAATACTGAATTCCAGGTTTCCAAAGTCAGAGAATAAGCACGTAAAAAAAGAGCATAAAATTGGAGTCAAGGGCAGGAAATAAACCGGATGGTGTCTTGTGGTGTGTGTAAAGAATCTGTGGCTTGGGTATGATAAATGAGAAAATGTGTTCCATATGCATACACATATGTACATACGTGGAAAGAGTAGATGTGGGATGTCTGGCTGGACGTCTTTATTTGACCGAGTGACATAGATTTTTGAAACCATTCACACATGAACAAAAGAAAATCAGTAATTACTTTGTCGAAAACCATATAGGAGTTTATGTTCTGTCTTTGTTAGTTTAGTGTGTTATTTTTCGTCGTGAAAACTGGCTTATATACTTGCCGTATATGTAACTGTATTCAATTGTTGTTACGGAAGTGTTCTGGTTTTAAGGTGGTAGGAAATCATGTTCTCCTCTTGTACCACACAAACATGCAATTTATCTTTGTCAGATAAGCTTAAAAATATTTATTTATTTATTTATTTATCCTGTTGCCAAAACCAAGAAGTCGGTTAAAATTACATGTGCCTTGTATTTCCCATTCCACCATGGCCAGATTGCGATGCGCCTTTGTTGTAACCCATCTGCAGACCTAAATGACCTTGATCGGCCCTTAATTGTTCCTCTGTGAACTCCCGTTCGTTCTTTTCGCTCATCTTCGGACCTGGTCAGCAACGTACAAAACGGTCAAAATATACAATTCACAGACTATGGAAAAAATGGGGCAGAAATTAATACCTAGTCGGGGCCCCGTGTACTCGGGATGTTTCTGCGTTATCCTGCCCAATGAGAACAAGCAGAGGACAACTTGCTGAACGTTTCTTTTTTCAAACAAGTCGGGAGTCTGGAATAATAAAAAACGATACTTTTGCATATATGCTGATGAACCTGAATTTATTGTTACTGAGGATGAGTATAATTAGTTCTTGAATTTTGCATGAGACTTTTCGTTATAAGCAAACTTTTTATTAGTGCAGTCTTTTGTATGTGAACTTACCTGGAATATTTCTTCTTCTGGAACACCATACTTTTTGATCGCAGCTTGAAATCTAATTAATATAACTTCAAGTTGATATTCGAATAAAGAATTTTACTTCGTTTGTCGAATAATAAATAATTGAACCCAAAAGAAACAATACAGGAATTATTGCATTTTGGGTTTACCTTTGAATGTTCTCCATTAGTTGAAAGGCAGTACCCTTTTCTTGTATCTTTTTCACACTCCCAGGAACCATTTTGTTGATAAGTTTGCACAGGATGACACCATCCTTCAATCCAAAGATATTACAATGTTTCAATTTCAATATGTTCAGTTAAAAATTAATTCTAATATTTGCAATACCTTCAGAATATCTTCGAAGGCTCCTTTCGGCAAAGGTTCCCTGTAACAAATAAAAGTCTCAGGTGGGGTGTGGTTGGGACCGCCTCCATGCTGAGCACTCCGGGGCTTTCACCACATCAGTGCAGAAAGGTCCCATGTATGAGACGCGGATGGAGTTATTTACTCACCCCATAACTTCCTGAATCCAGGCCAAAACTTCGTCTTCTAGTTCCTTATTACGTGGCTGCAAAAAATATTAATGTCAAAAATACACCCCTTCTACACAAAGACAAATAACGAAGTTAGAAAAGTACCGGCATTTTGGATTATGATTAAATTAAATTTGCACAAATGTCAAAAATTGTAAGAATTTAAATTTTTATTGCATGGAATTAGTGGATAAGGTAAACGCCTCAAACCAACTTCAACAACTTCCAAATTGCAACTAAGAAGTTTGGAAGAAAAGTTTCAGAGTATTTCAAACCATTTCGTCATCGCTTTTTTACATCTACCCAGCACGGTGGGTTTGCGTTAGTTTAATAGGGATGACAGTCGAGGATTCAAATTATGTAAGATATGCAACTCAACTGACTAAAGTAGTTTAAACTTTTCTGCTTATCCATATATCCGCCTTCAATTCGCACCAAGAAACAAGAAAGCACAACTTTTGCATGCATCAGGTTTCCGGATCGTTAGAATATATGTATACCAGTTATAAAACGTTTGTATATTCGACACATGCATAACATTCTGGATTTGAGAGATTCTAAAAGCAACTTTCTTGTGTTTTCTTTTCTTGATTTTTTTCTAATGAATAGTGTGATCAGAGAGGCATGTCATTTATTGGCTGTTTTTTATGTCGTGGTATTAAGCGTATATGCATGCATACATACAGTAGCAGGTATGCTTAAAGTTGTGGGTGATGTACATATGAATTGCATCCGCGTTGCTTTTCAAGCGAAGATTTTCCCATGAATCGTCACTGGCGATATGGGAGGAAGAAAGTCTTGCCAAAAAGTTTTGCTATTTTCAGAGTTTCATCATAGGGCGATAAAATCCACCCGCACTCAAACATCTGCAATTATATTCATTAGCAGCCAAATGGCTCAATGTCAAGAGTTACGACCTCAGAGTTTCAGTTCAGCTGCTGCTCCAGTTTTTTGAATAATATATTCGTACGTTGTCTATATATTGTAAATCAGTAGTTAAAATCACGAATCTGCTGAGTGATTTCAAAGTAACGAACCGATTTCTTTTTTCCAGTTTAAAGAATGAAAATATGTCAATTTATTTAGTGATCACGCATAATATGGATATTTACGTATCATTTTGAGTAATTTAAATGATCAGCATTAAAGCTACACATAAAATATATGTAAATCTTTGCATTCACCTTCTCCCTGCACTTTTTAAACCATTTACAAACTTGGCCATAAAGTTAAAGTCATGAAAATTGTATTCGTTCTAAAGTAAAATTTGTTTGTAAACTAAGCGATAAAATCCAAAAGGGGAAACATCTTAAAAAACGGGGGTTTCGGAAGTAAAAACATGTCACTCCTCTCTGAAGATATATGGCTCGAAGAAGTCGACAATCTCAACAACCAAACATGTCCCATTTACATAGAACCGTGAATATATTTCCTCAGACCCTCGAGACGAAATGGTTTCCTCCTTAAAATGTTCATTGATTATCCGACTTCTCTTTCAACATGACTTTGCTAAAGTTGAATGGATTTCCTTACCACATGTTCGGGATATGGTTACGGAAGAGTGAAAATTTGTCATCCATCGAGATTCGCCACATACGAACAGATACGGACATTTAATTGTCATCGTCCTGATGCGTTCTCTGACATAGTGTGAAGCTAATTAAGAAACCAAGTACAACATGGGTAGTCTATGATTTCAGCTTTAATTGAAAAAAGAAATCAAAAGCCAACTTTTGAGCCAACATCCGGTATATCTCCTCATCAACCCGAACCGGATTTATCACTCTGAACCTTATTAACTCGCCCAATGGAATGAAACAACATGACTTTCTGTCACAAACTGACGTCAATTTAAAAGCGTTGAAGCCGGAAAGCGGAGATTGTGCCAAAGTGAAATAAATAAGCTAACAAGCTTAACACTTTGTACGTAAACACATACCCTCAGCGAGACATCTCGCTTGATTCATTTGACATTATGGCACATTTAAAAGTCAAACGTGTGCATCTTATGACGACAGAAAATGGAGACCTCAAAATAATTCGAAACATTGCACACTTTTCAGAGCACTATGGCGCGCATTATAACAGGACATATGTAGGACTAAAACCGTGTTCTGAATAAACTTGCAATACGCAATTACAAAATTAGTAATGAAAAATAAATTAAAATTATTCTAACACGCGATTGTACATTTCTTTATGTTCGAAAATGCTCCAATCTCAAGTCCTTAGAATGAGCAAGTATGTGAACAAAGATTTCTTAGCGGAGCACGCCCCCTGCAATTTGGACCCCACAGACGACATCTTTGCCAGTTCGCCAAGAGAAGCCTCTGCCTGCACTGATCTCGAAACTGTACCTCATTCTTCCTCTCTCTGGGCTTTTTTATGACTGTGTGAAAGAAAGACGAATGGGGTAGTTTTTAGTTTATTTATATTGGTGGTGGTGTAATAAATAGCAGCAGTAGCTGTAGTGCAACAAGAACAAGAAAAGAAAGCTGTGCTGTTTTGCAAGATACTCTTCTATGATATCGTATCTATAGACTTGTCGTCGTCCCAGAACTTAAAGTATGTAAGGAAGACTATTTTTTTTATCGAAAACTTCGAGAACGGCAGCAGAAGTGAGGTTTCATAAATAAATCTGCAATAATAACAAACTTTTTTCCCTGCTTCGTTTCAACCAATTTATTTTAGACTCACCTTGAGGCGAGAGAAAGATAATCGTACATGTTGTGACGTGAAGAAGTGTGAAGAAAGAGCTAGTTTATTAGGAGAACTGCATGTAATCGTCAAAAAGAGGACCATTGTTATTTTATTAGTAATTGCGAGTAATAATAATAATAATAGAATAGCTCAAAATCCACTCCACAAAGGTAAACAAGAATCTCGAAAAATTAAACAGTAGTTTAGTGAGCGATGATTTCTCCAGGCGTGTTGGTTCGTAAATGTTGAGAAGTGTAAATAAGGGTTAAGTTGCATTGCCATTAAAATCACTAATTAGTGAGGTCGAGGACGTTTTTGGAGAGGAAAGCTTGAGTAACATGGAGGAAGCTCAACAGGAAACTAAAATTATCTACCACATTGATGAGGAAGAGACACCTTACTTGGTAAAATTGTGTATTTATTTGTTTACTATATTAATTTTATATAAATAAGTCCTATACAATTTTTCCTTAATAAAATCTTTTCAGGTCAAAATACCTCTGCCCCCCGACAGAGTCACATTGTCCGACTTCAAGAATGTATTCAGTAGACCGAGTTACAAGTTTTTCTTTAAATCTTTCGACGATGACTTTGGGTACGTGTTGTAGAGACAAGTCGTCTTCACATTCTCTGTAAATGACCAATAATACTAAAAAAGGATGCACAACTAATTCAATAATAATTTGTGCAGGGTGGTGAAGGAGGAAATAGTTGATGATGATGTCAATTTGCCATGTTTCAACGGAAAAGTAATTTCATGGGTACGTTGAAAATTTGTTTGATTAGGAATTGTCCATGTTTGGCCCTTGCTTGATTTCTGTTGATAATTCTTTTAATTAGTTGGTCTCTACCGAGGGGAGTAATGTTTCTGATTCGAATTCACATTGCGCCGACAGCAGTGTGGCACAATCTGATGGGAGGATGGGGGCTGAAAAGCCTACACGAACGATGTGAGTCTTGATTGCTTTAATTACTATAATTAATTGCTTTAAAAATTGTGGCCGTTTTGTGGAATATTTATATTTTCTTTTACAACAGACCCAAAGGACTACGTGCAGCTAAGCAGCAATTTGCTGATGACACGACCACTTGCACGGAAACCGAATCAATTATGAGCTCACGTAATATGAGGCCAATATAAACATTTTTAATAAAGAGGCACAATTTAAAAAAGTTCTTGCAGGTTTCAATTATAACCCTCATCGCAATAAGAAAGATCAAAATTTCAAACTGACAGATAAATATGACAAGTATAGTCGATTTGACGGTATGCACGGCAAGGGACACTACGAATCTTCACTGATGAGTTCAGATCTAGAAACGACCACATTCTTCCAGTCTGATGATGATGACGCTTCCAGTAGAATCACTGCTACGACAGGTATTTATGCTTGCTCGTATTTCATAACTGAATTTTTGATATAACAAATAAATTAAACATGACCTCAGAGCTGATCTTACTACTTGATATTTACTTAGAACATACTAGCGTCTCAAAAGTTATCGCGCGACAACAGCAACAGAGACGCCAAAGAAGAAGAAAACACAGGCAACCAACAATGTCGAGAACCTCTAGTTTTTCATCAATCACAGGTTACTTTGACTTTCACCGAATGGGTTAACCATATTTCAAATTTCACGAGTTACTGCTTATCAATCACAGATTCCACAATGAGTCTCAACATAATTACCGTTACTTTGAACATGACGACCCCGGGTGAAAATGGAACGCACAATTTTCTTGGAATTTCTATCGGTATAATTAATTTTGTGTCATGACCTCTAGTATACTCAAATATACTCAATCTTGGATTTATTTAATTTCCACGTATAATAGTGGGAGAAAGTAATAAAGGAGGTGATGGGGGTATCTATGTTGCGTCTATTATGAAAGGGGGTGCAGTGGCAAAAGACGGTAGGATCGAGCCTGGCGACATGATACTACAAGTCAACGATATAAATTTCGAAAATATGACCAATGACGAAGCGGTGTGTATATTTCTTAATTATTTGTTGTTTTCCAATGCCTTTGAGGGTTTATGATTTATGTGTTGTATGATCTTTTCTAGGTGGAAGTTCTGCGAGATGTTGTTAAAAAGCCGGGTCCCGTAAAACTCGTGTAAGTATGGAAAAAATACCACAATTGTCTGACAGTATTCACAGTCGGAATTCGAACATGTTTCGTCATGTCTCAGACCGTCATACTCGTGTATCTGGAGGTAGCTGTTGTTTAGTTGAGAGTTGGAGTCTGAGCGGGGTAGTTAGTTAGCACACACACAGTGTTACCAACTTCGACTGTTCCAAATGTAAACGACCTTTCGCCACCAATCAATCTAGAAAAACCCATAACGTCAAAAATACCTGCCCTCAAAAAATTATGCCACATTCAGCGGTTTCTAAAAAATCTTAAAATACAATTTCTGGGTCTTTACGAACAGTAATGAAAAAAAAATATTTAGTTAGGTGTCCAACTAATCATTGTGTTGAAAATTGCTAATTATTAAGTGTGGCCAAGTGCTGGGATCCAAATCCAAAGGGTTACTTCACTATCCCAAGAACGGAACCTGTCAGACCCATTGACCCAGGGGCTTGGATCGCTCATACGACGGCAGCTATCGGAGAATATCCAGCTAGACCTCCTTCTGTGACGACTCTTACATCTACAAGCTCTTCTATTGCATCCAGTATACCAGAAACAGAAAGTACATAACATACAACAAGCAAATCATGTATTTGTGGGATGATTCTTCTCACGATGAGTGAACAACACGACAAAATTTATTTACATTTATTATGTTCTTTATTCAGGAACCGTTGAAGAAATGCCTATCCGACTTACTGCAAGTAAGTTCTGGTTTTAATTATGTGGTTTTAATTTAATAGTTATAATCAATTGTTATCCACTATTGGTCTTAATCGTCCTATCCACCTGCGGGTGCGATTAGCGAAAGAAATATCTTGAGTCCTTTTACTGTCCACTTTTCTTGATTCGAAGGACCCCTCTTCATTGTCAATGTCCAACATTCGGATATCATTATCATGTCATGCCATTAAAACTACAATGATGCTACGTAGTAAATCACAAATAACGATATGTAAATATTTAGGAGATGAAATTCTCAGGCATCTCTACTAAAATATTACATCTTATTGTTAGCAAATTTTATTTTAATTAAATTAAATTTTAATTACAGCCACGCCAATGAGTTTAATAGTCCGAGAAATGCAAAAGCCCGAGTCTGGACTCGAAGTGAAAGACAGGTTAAAACTTGATTTACAAATTTATCAGTCGTTTATTTTAATTTTCAAGAATTAAATGTTGAATATTTACAGACTATGGTTAAAAATTCCCATCCCAAATTCCTTCATTGGTAAGTAAATATTTACAAATTTAGAGAGTTAAAAATAATAATGTGTACGTAGACTGGACAAGAATAAGGTTTATAAATATTGCATATTACCACATTATATGTTATTCTCTTGTGAATGAACGTGTAGGGTCGGATGTCGTGGAGTGGTTGCTGACACATGTTGAAGGATTCAACGAAAGGAAAGATGCCAGAAAATATGCTTCAACGATGTTGAAGTCGGGATTTATTAGACATACCGTTAATAAACTTACGTTTTCCGAACAATGTTATTACGTCTTTGGTGGAGAACTAGTCAACTCAATGATGCAAGGCATGCAAATACGAGACGGGGATAACAAATCTCTCTCATCATCGGATGTCTTGGGGCCGCTACCGCCTCCTTCGTCATCGTCACCTCACTGGAGCAATCCTTATTCTTCTAGTGCGGTACATCAACAGCCTCCTCTTGCTCCAATGTATGCCCCAATGCCATATTCCATGACAGGGGGATATGAAAGCAACGCGTACAGCTATCCTCAGGAGCCATGTGGTAATAGCGGCTCTGGTAAGTCAACGTTTTTCCCTACTATTACACTTTAAACAGGCCGAGTACTTTGCACCACTTGAACTACCACCATGTTTAAGGTGTTTTCGTGTACTCGATATATCGTATGCGAAAAATGAGTCTCGTAGTATAAATATGTGAAATATGATGGGGACCCTATGCATGATTCGCAAACAGAATATCATTAAAAACAACTAAGAAGACTGTGTAACATTATTCTTATCATTTTTACAGGCGGAAGTAGTAATGACACTGGCGGATCAAGACGTGAACGACAGCATTTGGTTCGGGACAATCACCACAGTCACGGAATGCCACTTGGATTTTGCGCTCCTCCAGAAATCCGGTCAATCGATTCAGATTCCGGGTCTAACAGATCGAAAAAATCCGGTTCAAGTGTCCTACAAGGTGTCCAACAAGTTCATCAACCACATTCTCATATGAATATTCATCCCAATGTTGGATATGTGAATCATGCTAATGGAGATGCTAATAATCATAATAACCCGAATTTCCACAGCGCGTCCACATCTACCAAACCTAATGAATTTTTTATAGATGTTATGTGAGGGGTCACTTTTTTCTTGAAATATTTTTAATATGTGGACCATCTCGAACAAATAAAAATGTCACAAGCAATCAGGCTTCAAGCTATGAGATTCGTATACGTGCATGCGATTTTGTGTATCACAAGCTGACCGTAATTTTCTATACTGCTTCGACCTTGTTAACATTTACAGAGTTGCTTCCTTTCACTAATTTAACAAAGTATACCAAGCTCTAGCTAGATTAACGTAGTGTGACGTTTAAATTGAATTCATTAATATCGCAATTAACATTTTCGCATAGAATGTGTCGTACATATTATTGAGTGAACGTTTAGTACCAAATGCATGAGATTGCCTAATTGTTAAATTAAGTGACAGTGAAATGAGCTTTTTTATTTGGCTGATGGATATTTGTGTACATTTTATTGATGATTCAGCATTCGTTTAGTTTTGTTCTTCGTCGATAGTCGATAATGTCAAAATACTGTTTTTTCTGCCATTATTATATTACTTTTATCAAATTATTATTAAGTCTTGTTTGAGTAGTAAGAAAGAAGAAATACAATTATACATTTGTACTCTTGGTATATTTTATGTATTTGTTGTATCCCCCAATTATTCATTCCTCATTTATATTTGCACTTTCGTTGACTATGTCACGCAGCATTGCGTTACATTGCATCATATTCAAAAGACTTCGAGGGCTATGATTTGAAATATTCTCAAATTTGCTTGGAGGAGGTGGTAGAAATTGTACCCTGTTAAAGTCCCCTATGCCTGCATCTTCATATGCATCGTCATAAACAGGATTTCCTCCTCTGGCAGAAAGCATTTGTCGAATTATTCGCAATGTGGGTTCCTCATTGTTATTCTTGTTGCTTCGACTGGTAGTAGTACATGGCGTCTCTTCAGCTAAAGGAGGCTGTTGATTTTCCCGCATTTGATGATTTGTCCCCTCCTCGTAATCAAGCGACGAAGAGGAGAATTGTCTTTGCCGTGTGGACAATTGCTGGTGCTGACATGAAGCCGTTTTTTGTAATTTTCTCTCTGGCACGAGAAAATTAATTTCACTCTGAAATTCTGAGTCGTCACTAATTCCATTTGCCATCATGCTTTCAGTTTGTCCACGAAGACTATATTCTGACGACGATTTGAAATCACGGCTAATAAGACTCGCTTGTGAACATTGATCAATTATTTTGTCCCATGGGATTTTCTGGTCATCGGGCTTTGTGTAAAGTTCCCTCAAGCAAGTCACTAGGGCGTCACACAGTTCTAGATATATTTGTAAATAGCTTGGATAAAGAAGAGGGAAATTTAAGTCAAGAGCTTCGTAACAATTTTTGTCGCTCACGGATTTTCTGCATGTACTCATTTTTCATGGAACGGTCACATTGTTTCATCTTCTCAAAAAAGGTTTTGAACAAGGAATCGTCCGGAAGTTGACAAATCATCGACAATTTGGGAGGGGGCACCAAGTTTAAAGTGTCACATGGTCCGAGGAGATTCCAAGAGCTTGAAATATTACCAAATTGACGCATCATGTTATTTGTGCTGACCCAAAGGCGATATAATTTGGCGATATCTGTCTCGAATGGATCTGGAAGCCGTTTGCACAGAGATTGGCAAAACATTTTGAGATTACTACGCAAGGCTTGGATCCAATGTTCCTACGGTGTACGACAAATAAGTATCTTGATATTTGAGATGCAGGATAATAAAGCGATCGGTTATACCGTGAAATATTTGGAGAAAACTGAATGCATTACTGGGTTCATTACAAAAGGTAGACTTAGAATTTCTGGGTCGTCCACATCGTCATGATCTTTTGCTTTAAACTCTTCAATTAAACTTTGCATGTTTGTTTGTTTCGCATCATCAGAAAAATCTCGCCTGAACGGGATCGTGATGTAGACATAGATCTGAAGGTGTACATTTAATCTAAGTTCTTCGCGTCGATTTTCCACTGGACATTTACCTCGAACATATTTCCATTTCTACATGAACAAGGACATACATACGTCGTATTACGATATTTATTTATAAATAAACAAATATTTGCTAAAATATGTCAACGTTATTTACATGTACCTCATTCAATGGTGTGGTATCTTCATCATCAAAATATTGCAGGAACTGCTCAACATCCTTATGCGTTAATTCTGAGCACACCTTTTCGATCTTTGGTGTTGGACGAGGTTGTACTGGAAATCCTTCATCATGAGACTCTTGGGCAAAGGTGGAAATAGTCTTGTTGAATCCCAGAATTTCTAAATACTAAAAATTATATACTTAATTATTAGAATTTATAATGCAAAAAAATAAAATCAGGAAATGTTATTCAAACCTGAAGAACTACAGAGTTTAAAAATATGTAAAACTGCTTGATTTCATTGCTATTTTTATGGGTAGTAGTCGTGGTCATTGGCGTCGTCCCTGAGTTCATAATGTGATTGAAAAAGGTTGGACAATTACGAGCTTCCCCAGATTGATTTTGAGTCTGTGGATCAGACATCAATCCACCAAATACCGTAATTAATTCTATATTTTCAGCTAAATCTATTTGCTTTTCTATGCACTTTAGTTTCCGTGGGGGACTGCCTTGATGAAAACTATGGATTCTGGCAGAATCAAACACAGGCATCCCTTTTGAAAAAAAATATATTGCAAGCAGTTTGGACAAGTTTTAAAGTGGGTTTATTTTAGGCTTTGGAACCAAATTTTAAATTAGCATCACAAAACTGTTTGGCTATATATCATAATAATAATAAAGTAATGTTACCACGTAACAAATAAGTAGGTCGACTACATATATGTTGTATAACTCGCCATCCGTATTCCGAAGTATGCTGTTGTTGGTGAAGTAGGTAGATGATTGCGTTCTAAATAAATACTTTCTTTTCACTGACATATGTAACATAACTTATCAAATATTTGCACTGCATTAATAAATTATCACTCAATAAGTAATTCAGACATATAACTAATACATAAACAGTTGTTGAAAAAATGAAACATTTGAATAGTATAATAATCATCATCATTATGATGCGAATATGCTAATTGAAGTAGTATTTTTTACGGATCGAATCAGAATTAGTATCATATCCTACCGTTACATTTCTTAAAAGTGAAGCACGATTTAAAAAGCAATTAAGATTGGAAGGCTCATATGACTTTCACCGTAATAATTTGTTGACTTTAATTGATTACAAGGGTAATAATACAATTATTATTGCGTTTGTACGATGTGTACACCAGTTCCATTCAACTATTCTCGTCGAATAAATGTCCGCCCTCTGAAAATTCACAATACATTATTATGAGTTATTAAATTAACACGAAAATTTATCACTTATTATAAAATTAATGCGATTCTTTTGTATCTCTAATTGTGTAAGACTTACGATATAGTCTTCTTCTCCACATTCTTTGGTTCTGGTCTTGCACGGTTCAAAACTTTCAAAAATTCTGTAGTTTTTGCACGCATTCTTGAGTGAATGTACGCTTTTGAACATTTCAGGTGATAGTGCAGGTAGTCCCTAAACATGTGGATCAGATTGATTGTGTTATCTTTTGCTTCTTTATTCGTATGACGTGGAAACAATACGAAAGTGATGTATCCAATATTATCCCCAATTCGTGCCCCAGTGTTTTGTAACTCAAGGGGTGGTTCTCGATGCGAAAATAACACTTGAGGTGCTGAAATTCATAATTAGAATTTTCCGTTTACTGTATATGTAAGTACATATACGAAATTTCGATTAAATTTTAGGTTAAATGAAGTTGAAAGTCGTAAGCTTAACCCTTGTACTGTTTGGTTATTGCAACCTATGGTCATACCATTTATCATGTGGTATAATAAATTCTTCTCACCTGTATGCGAAGCGCGTCGGCCTTCTCTAAATTCTTGCATGAACACTTTTCCCAAGACTACGTCATCCTCATCCCTGAATACTGTGCTGTAATTATTAAAAAAAATTAACTTGTAGATCAAGTAATTATTGTGATTTATTGCAATGCAACAAGAAACCCAACGTCTGGCTCACCTGAATACAACAGTAACTCGGTCTGCTTGAGCTTCAACATATCTGAAATGTATTAAATGCAGAAAAAAAAGAATTGATCAATTGATCAACTCTGAAATTATTTTCTATTTTATCTACATGTCATAACCATAGACCATAAATGAACTTACAAGGTCTCATCTTCTCTGTAATTAATCACTGCTCTGGACTGTCCCTCGATTCCTTCTTGTTGGAATTCGAAATACTTTTCGAATACGGAGGCGAAACAATTGCGTTTAAGAAGTCCTACTTTCTTTACCAAGTCTTCCCAGTCGTTTGGCACGTTTTCCAAGTCAAACAGGAGAGACACGCTATACCCTAAACATTTGGAATTGGGACGTATTTTCAATTAAGTCAACACATAAACAAGGATTCGTCATGTAATGATGGAATTAACAGAATTAAATAGCAAATACCGTCTTCAGGTGGATAAAGGAGGTAACTTCCATATTCTCTTTTAAGTAAGTCTTCTGCCCCATGTTCTTGCAATTGCTTGTAAAACTTTAGGGAAATACTCACCTAGAATATATTTTTTTAAATCTCAAATTAAGCGAATATTACAATTGTCTGCAAACGAACACACGCAATAAAATATGCACCTTCAATTTGGTTTTATCGCCGCTATGACTGGAAATGTGAAATAGAACACCGTCGAAATCAGCCACTTGGATATCTGTTGAGTCTGGCTTGTTCCTAAGAATTAAAGTAAAGTAAACCATTATATTGTTACCTTCCATTGCAATGTACGTTATCTCAACTTTATTACAATGTCTCAATACACAAAACATACCCAGATAAAGCATTTTTGAACTTGAGCGTTAAGGTATCCTCTAAAATACGATTGTTTATCTCCAACAAAATCATGCTGGCCGTTGACGACTGTAAATCAGAATGTTATTTATTAAGTTCTGCCGCTTGACGGTTAGGTTAATTCAACAGTAAAATTTATCTCGAATAATAACTACCAAGAACTCACTTAATTGACAAACTACTCGGCCAAACAAAACTTTTTTTTCTTAGTATCACGGGCAAAAGTTGACACTCACAGCAGGGATTTTCCAAACCCTTACTCGTCATTCACTCAATTTTAGCCAATCTCCAAAATCACTACTAATAATGTGTCCCACCCACTTGTCTGCAAATTTTGTCGTGAAGAAAAAGTGATGACAAGTCTAGTTTATCATCATCGGCAGAGGTGTTGAATATCAGTCATCGTTTTACCACCACAGCTTCCGGTGCTTGAAAACTGCCGAGCTGTGCCTCTCTCACCCCACCAGATGGACGCACTGCCCGGCTCCACCAGCTCTCGCCACCACTGATAAAACCATCCGTCACAACTTTATAACTTTCTCGTCTCATTCTCATCATGCCATCAATCAATGCGGGGAGACAGCCAACTGTGTCTCCAAGATAAATGGATGGATAAGGCACTACAATTTTACTTATAAATCTTGTCGCAATATGGCTGGATGGAACTATATGGACTAGGGTACTACGATGCAAATGCTTTTGAGCGTCTCAATTTTCCCAAAACAAAACTTGGTAAAACGATCAATCAATTCTTTCAGTGTCCTTGCGAGTAAGTAATTCTGAGAGTCTGTACACTTCTAGATATTTGAGGATGCATCAATGTTCGGAAATGTGCTGTCAAGTTTTTTATAGCGATAATGAAATCGAAGGAAAGTCTCATTTTCCCCCAATTTATCAATATCAATCTACATAATACTGATGTCATTAGATTACGAATGTCAATTTGATTATGAAAAAGTATGATCAAAAGAAGACAGGAGTGTAATTTTGTGTCTGTCTAGTAAGTGTCCTTGAGGAGGGTTGTAATGTGGGCAGTTTCTTCGAAATACGGAGCTCGGTAAAGTCCCCGTGCAACCAGAGGTTGAACATCATACCATTCTGAAATGGAAAAATTACATTTTACATAAGCATTACACATACTTCCTAAAATAGAACGAAAATTCGTTTCAATGTGTGCAGATTGCTTTCATTCTCATAACATGGCCACCCACCATTCGCATCTCGAGTTTGAGCGTTTTTCACAATCATCCCACTTCCGTCCACGTCTTGAAGGAGGAAGTCACAATATTCTGGGAGTAGCCATTCCGTGTCAAATAAATATTTTAGCTTCTGTGAGTACAACCGTAATTACAATTAGTGTAATTAGAGTATTAATAAGTAATAAAAGTGGATGCTAAAAAACTAAGTATTTCAATTAATTACAGTCCACGAGGCCTGGTTGAATCGATTCCCCAGTGCGTACAGGGATCTAATCCGAGTATTTGGAAGAATCTCAAAAAACTGCTCGAGAGATTCCGCAATGTCGTTGTATGCTATGTTGAGGAACTCTACGCTGGAGCCTGGAAGTGCTTCTGTTAGATATCTGGAAAAAATTACAGAAAAGTAGATTTTGCAAAGGCATTTATATTCGAGGATAAGTAGGCGACGTGGTTTTTTAGTGAGCACACAGCTTTTACCTTAGACCTGGATTCCGGAGGCGGTTATGGTTCAGGATGAGATGTTTCAGATTTTGGTTCAACTGAATAAATCTCGCCAAGCATTTCGCCCCCTCAGGTCTAAATGGGTGATGAACGAAGAAGACATGGAAAATTGCAGCATAAAAAAATAGTAAATTAAACAACGTTTTTCTTTTGCATTGTCAAGACAGAAATGAAGAATGGAAGGATGTAGAAATGGAGAAGAATACATGATTGCAATTAAAAGTACCCTATGGCATTGCATCCAATGTCGAAAAGGACAATATTTGAGTTAGCTAAGAGACCGTCCATCAGACTTATCATTCCATCCTCGCCGAGATTCCACTTTCGCATATGCAAACATTTCACGGATGTATTCAACTAGAATATTATAAGACAACTTAATCATGTATTTGAGATCAAACATCACCAGACAAATCTGTATAAACCTGGAGAAAGTCTCCCATTTTTGCAGCCATTATTGGCTCAAAGTCCTGAAATATTGGTCGATTGAGCACCAACCGTGTAGGCTTGGAGGCAAAGGGGAACTTGATAACTGGGACCTCGTGTTCATTGCGACGCTTTTCCATTTCAATTATCAAGTTGGCCTAAATACAAATTATGGTCTAACTTCTGAAATTGGTACCACGAAATTTTATAATATCTTGAAAATTACAAGTAATACTCACCACTTGGTCAAAAGCTTCTTCTAGAAATTCAACTGCCGGATCAAGGGAGGTGTCGAGAACGGTCTCCAATTTCTAATGTTATATAAACCAATCATGTGATTTTAAGTTTATCCTTCAAATCGTTACGGATGTTGTTGAAAGCAAGTTACACGCACATTGTTTAATAGTTCATGAAATTAATTATTGGTCCTATTGGCAAAAATACGCCAAATTTTCCCTTCGTATTATGTGTCTGAATGACCATTACATGTACATGCATGCAATGCAATGAGTTGTATGCGAAAGATCAGACATTGCCAGACAAGTGCAAAAGTAACATCAAAGGAAAGGCCAGACAAAGAGGAACCAGCGTCAACATTGGAAAGTATAAACACTTGAACCTCTTAGGCCAGACTTCTTTGAGTATTATTTACATTGCGTAATAAAATTACTATACAGAATACAGAAACAATATAAACCAGTAAAATTGGAAATGATTAGTAATACGTATGATGTGGAATGCTATTTGCTCATGGCTTCTTGTTGCTTCTTTAGCACTTTCCACACTTATTTTGTCTAAATAGCACTATACCACAAATTCGCCATCTGTCCCACCCCATCCTTTTTTACATAGGAGGGTGGGGATCTTATAGCTGAACGGCCAATCAATATATGTACATGTTCTCAAATAAGCAGGATAAGGATAACGAACCTTATTTGCATTACTGGCATCGACTGATAGTGACGCTCCCGCGAGGATAAAGTCTTTCACCGTCCGACCAACACGTCCTTCTGTTTCCTCTGCAACGTGCTGACTTGCTTCTAACGCACGAGTTAAGGAACTACCAGGCTCTCGTGATCTCAAGGAGAAAGGGTCTGCAGAACCAATTAAGGTGGCTGCTGCCGTGACTGCCCCTTCCAAGAAGCTGGTGATGATCCTTTGAACATTGCTCCCCTCCATGGAACGCCCATCAGCGTTTGTAATGACGGAGCGGCGGCCCCCCTCGTCCGACACTACTGCTTCACCAACACCACTACAACAACCACCCCCGCCTTCCTGTCCAACCCTTTTAAAGCTTTCCTCGGCTGCAACTTCTTTGCAAACTGCGTTCCCAACGTCCAAAAGGAGTGGCGGAATGAAAGGGTTTTGTAACAGTCGCAAAAGAGTTCGATTAGCAGACTCCATAAACTTTCTCACAAAACTCATGATTTCTTTTGGAGACAAGGAACAACGTTCTGGAGGAATTCTCTTGTAAATTAGGTTCACTGTTTCTTGAGTAGCATTGTCCCAAATCGCATTCAAGTCCTCCTGTGCAAATTCCGCCGACGAGTCTTCCAATTCTTTCACCCTTTGACACGTTGTTAACACGGAGGCCAATAATATCTGAGCGGCATCCGATTTCTCGTCGTACTCTGTGTTTGATGAGAATTTAGCTGCTTCTGCGAGGACGCGTGTGACCACTTTATTTGCAGCTTGCTGTGCAGTCTCGTCATCTGGAGCTTTTGTGGATTGTGTTTCAATCCTGGCCATTTCTTGAGCTCCTTCTACCAAGTCATCCAAAGGGGATGGAATAAAATGTCCATAGTGACCAGTGATGGTCGACTCCAGTTCAAGAATGTTATCAGCATTCAGAGAGTACAGGCTGGGACAAACTATAACTGGTCGTCCTTTGGCGTCAAAGGGAATGCAACCAGCTTCTTTGATCTTCTTGAATTCGTCAATAATTAAGCCGGTGTCGGGAAGCTTTTGAGACTTTTTTAAAATCATGTCAATCTTTGCTTGACCTCTGTCCAAAGTTGTCGTCATTATCGCATCGTCATAATTATTGTCCGTGCCATAGTCGCCACTATTATTATTCGCCATCGACGTCAGTTCCGGAATCTCAAATAACCCATGCAGGATGGTGGCTGAGACTTTCTCCACCAAACGGGAAGGATCCTGGAGTGGTCCAAAATCCTGCTTGGGGATTTCTGGAATTTTCTCCATTCTCGTTTCACTTCTCTGTGCATACGAGAAGGATAGGATAGAACAAATGACAAACGAGCAGAGTCAAGTCAAACGAGTTAGTCAACTCGATTCATGTGGAGTGAGGGACATTTAAGATGCCATCAATTAATTAATTTATCTCAAAATGGTATCAATTACTTTCAATTGACTACACTGTGCAATGCCAATCAAGGACCAACACTTGCACTACTGCGAACTCACCATGTCACCAGCATCCTTTCTTATCAGCTCGACAATGCTTCTCCGTTGAATTAAATTGTATTCTTGTCTCTTCATTTCATTATTGGCCACCTTCATGTCCGCCAGAACCTCTAAAATAACAAAATGAGTATATAGAGCTTTCGCCTGGCTTTCGAGACAAAAACTTTGGTGGTTCGAGTTTTAGTTTGTCTCTGTATGTCAGTGTATGTACATGGTTGGTTGGATGGATGCGATCTGATCTGATGGATATATCAGCAATCAAAGGAATTTTAAATATTTGAACAGATGAGATGGAACAGTTCGTGTTCCATGTGGATCTGATTTCTCATTTCATTTCCATCCCTTTGAAGCCAGCCTTCAACAAAGACAGATTTACGCAATGATGAAGCAACACAAACTCTCAAGAGAGTTCAGTTCCAAACTCTTAAAATTTTTATTTGGGTGAAACAACTCCTTTCTCCACCGGGATGCAGAAATAGTTGCAACATACACCCACTGACTTCTTTTCTCATCGATGAGCCATAATAATGCGAAATATATGTATGTATGCAAGTATGTGCATATTACGTCTGGCCCATTCTCTCCATTATTTGATGTCCTCTATAGATAAATATGTGAGCCGTTTGTTGCGCTATACTGTCTGAGGCTGGTAATATTTGATCAGTAACAGCAGCAGCCTACTTTTTCTTATTGTTGGACACCATTCTTGTATTTTCTACTACTACAAGAGCAGACAGAGCACGAACAGGTACATGAAGATCTTATAAAATGAAATGAATTAGCCCGAGAAAATTCGTCACCAAAAACTCATTTAAGTCAAACAAAGTCCATGCAACGTAGAAGAAATGTATACGTACGTCGTATGTATTTACTATGCAAACAGTGTGGCTATTTAAGAGAGATTGATGACGCATGGGGTATGATGGCAAAATAATTTACCAAGAGGTATTGGAAGTGGGTGGTCCACCAGGAATTTGGGGAAATCTTCATCTCTGTCAATAGCTTGCCAACTGGAACACAATCCTTGAAAGTCGGCCATGGACATATCGGATTCACTCACGTCCAAGTCATACGGTCCACGTCCACACATGACAAGACAAATGAGAGAGTCGAAGCCCTGAAATCGAGTTTTAATAAATTAATGAAATCCCGTTAGAGTTTCGCTTCACTTTTTCAAGAATTCATGAGGTGACAAGGAAAAGCTTTCAGATTTCGTTGTCCTCTTTTTAATACTGCATCATCACTTGGATGAGTCTCGCCTCCCATGCAGAATTACGACAACATAAACGATACGATACAGCATGGTGGCTGCCAACAAAAGAAAGTTTACTTTCTTCATTAGGAAGCAAGTTGCGTAAAACTGGTAGGGCGCTAATTAGATTTGTATTCACGGGAAGTGCACCATAATGCATAAACACGAGCATAATGTACGGGCACTCGAGAACCGTAAGATAAGATTGGGTGAGATACGATGAGATTACACGCATTCACAGGTACCTCTTTTCCCAATTTAATTCCAGATAGTTTTAAAGAATGGAGCGGAGAACGCTGCATCAAGCTCTCAAGAAACTGGGAGCATCCTCTCGGAGTAATGTCATTGTGAGCCAGATTGACGTGATATATATCTCCTCGTACCTACAACAAGTTGATCATGTTTACTTCCATGCAAAATGCCTAAAAAAGTTGGTTAAATATAGTGCGACCAGGACGAAAAACAACGAAAGCGTAATAAAAATCTCAGTCACCAGTAGAACTCCTGCCAGAGTAGAAACTGCGTCATCGCCAAAATTGTTGTAGGCGAGATTCAGTCTTGAAACTTGGGCTTCGGTACTTAAAAATTCTGCTAGTTGCGGCATGTCGTCATCATTTAAACGGCGCCTAGTAATTTAATTTTAGTTAATTTATGTATTAAGTAGAATATTTATAACTTTAGAAATTATGACACAACAAATTGGTTTCTCATATGCATAAACTTTATGTACTATTACATACCCAACAATTTGCTGGAGAAAGTTTCCAGTCAAGTCTAGCTCATCTTGATAAACCACCTTTGCCAATAGATTTCGATGAAGTCGAAACTCATTTACTTCTGGATTTTGTCCTCTGTAGTTGATCAAACAATATTCCTTCTGATTGTTCTCCAACAAATGATTAAGTCGAGAAATGTTGTCCTCAAAAGTTCGCTGGTTGTAAGGATCGTTTAAATCCAGTATTTGTTGATTGCTCATTGAAAAACGGGTCCTCATTTTTGGCAATGGTAGTGACGACGTTGTAGTAACTCCACCTTCACTTTTCACTGACATTCCAATTCCATAAATATCATGGTCCTCCTCTTCTTCATCATCTTCTACATCTGCATCGACTTCTTCTTCGTCCTCGTCTTTAGGAGATGCACTTTGAATTTCATATTCGTCCATAACTTGTTCCTCCTCTTCATCTTCACCTTCCTCCTCATCCTCTTCCTCCTCGTCTTCTTCTACTTCGTCCTCCTCAGGGACAATTGGATCATTTCCTTCCCCAGAAAGTGAAAGTGGTGTCACTACATCCGTACCGGAATTCGGACCGGAAGGAAGGTTATCTTGTTGAGATTCTGTTTTCTCCATTGATGCAAGTTTTCTACACAAACAGAGTTTCACAAATTATGTTTTATTCTGTGCACAAACTTCTCGTCGCATGCGCCACACACCGAGTTTTAGATCTTTATTTTTGTGAATCATTGCAATTTACAAGCTTATTTGCCTGAACTGCGTATGAACATTTCCATAGGAAATATTTGCGAGCTGGGGGGTTACCCTGTTTAGTATTACATTTAAAAATAATATGTAAAGTCCGAGTCAGTAGAATGATGGTTTTAGACTGAATTTCTCTGCATATGTACTAAAAGAAATTAAACCAACATATAGAAATATTGCAAATCATAACATGTCAGAAGGTTGAATGTATCGGAGTTTTTTTGGTTTGTCTCGGATTGATGAGCTCGTTGCACGCAACACAATTCGGGAAAAAATGTTTTGCATTACTGCGATAAATCAGTTTTGGGGACACGAAGGATAAACACAATAATTCTCTTTTCCATTCTACAAACATAATTCGATTATACATATTCTATGCCCGATAGTTGTTCAATACTACTCGCTCTGCGTAGCATGGGAGCTATTTCTTGGAGAATGGAAGAATTCCTCTTGTCCGTCTGTCTGTCTGTTAACCAGTTGTTTGCATCAATATTGATGCTAATTATATAGGAATCACTCCTCCATTGAATCACTTAGGATTAGTAGCATCATTGGTATCGAGCAATCGGTAACGCAAAATGGTGCGAAACAATTGGGGAAATCGATACAAAACGCACCAAAAGTGCGAATAACCCGAATCAATAATTATACAATTTGATATGTGTCGAAATTATCCTCGCTTATTCTGTCCCATTGTGTGAGGTCGTCACAAAGTATGTCAAAATATTGTGACGGGTTTGCCCGTTTCGTCAAAACCACAAATTTGTTGTTTTCATGGTTTAAATATTTATAGAGGGCACGTTTCCTTTCCATTTGGCTTCACCATTTTGCTACATTTCGTTTGCAACTGTTTATTTAGAATGGTTCAGTATACTGACTGTTGTATGTAGCATTATGTGTTTGCAATGATATGTGTCAGTATCAGTAATAACAAACTTTTTTCAAATTTATCCACAACCTTAATCCCAACCTTGGAATTGACATTACATATTTTTATTGCGTACACGAGTATAAAGATTACTGTAAAGAGAAGCGCAACTATAGATTTATGCATGTATAAAACTATCAATGTCTATTCTATATATTATATTACCAAAGCATGCACTTGTGAGAACATTCGCTCACTCATTCGTAAGCCATGTTGTGCCAAAATGCGAAACAAACGAATGAATGTCACTGTGATTGAGAATGTATCAGAATGAAATTTTATCCTTGTCTTGCATGGTATGCAAAATGGCCCAAATTAAAATAAATATGCCGGACCCACAATGCAACGGGTCAGTTATTTGCATGAGTAAGTCATTCACTTAAAAACTGATACCTACATAACTCTGGTTCAATAACTTGCCATAGTTTACGGCTCATGGGAGAATCATACAACTCTCCGTATGGCAAGAAAAAGAAAATGGTTACACAATTTCCTAACTAATAATTAATTAACAAATACTGTTACACATGAAATCTGAAAGTAGTTTCGCGTGACGTCACTGTCCACAGCTCAGCTTAGGAGTTTTTGAAATTATTTCCTGCAGTCAGTCCACGACGACCTGCTCCTGATCCTGAGCTGGACCGGCTTATTACTTAAATATTGCTCGTGTTTTGCAATAGCAGTGAACAAACCATGTGGGATGATCTCATCCTCTGAGGATCGAGAAATTTTTCCGTTTCTCTAGTGGAATTATGGTATGCAACGTATGAAATAATAAATCCAAATAAAGTCTTGTTTCCTCCTCGTCTCCTTTCTACATAACCTTCGTCTTCTCGAGTTCTTTACAAATGTGGGGTGTCTACATCCAAGTGATCCACATCCATTACTGCCACAAAAAGTAATTAATTTTTGGATTACAACTGCGACGCCAAGAAAGATGTGGGTGAAACGACAACCCCACGGATAATAAAATGAAATCTGTACAACAACAGGTGGATTTTAATTCTGAGCCACGACATTAATAATCCAGCGTCAGAAAAATTTGGATATAAAAAGGCTCCAATCTCGAACAATTCGTCCAGTCCCCATAACCGTAGGAAGGGACCTCTTCTAGGAAAAACTCTAAGGTCATTAGCTACGAAATTCTCACTTGTGGGGTGCATTGAGACACGTTTATTGCAAGATTTTCCAATTATTGCTTGACCCTCGTTTTAAGAAAACTCTTCACAATATGAGAAATAAAGTGAGAATAAAAATCCCCCCTTCCGGACATTTTCATCTGAGCCCTTCCATAGTTTTGTTTAGTTGTGGGATTCTCTTGCAAATATTGAATAGCTTCTCAGTAATGTGTGGCAGTGAAAGCATGTTTGCTCCAAATCCATCACATCAGGCAGTGAGCCCTGACATGTACCGATTTTTTATTCAATACCAACGATCTCACATTCCAAGCTTTAAAGATAAATCGAGTGATCAAAGTGTCCAAGGAGAAAATGCTGGAAACGCAGGGAAACAGGACAACCTGGAGTTGCATAATAAAGTTGGAGACAGCATGGACAAAGGAACTCAAGAGGTAGTGAGACATTTATTTATAACCTTAATAACTTAACCGGCCAGCTATTTAGTTTAGCTCAATTGTTCTTTACTGGAGTTAAAAATCAGACGAACTAAAAATATACATTGATTTTGAATGCAAGTCGCAGAAAACCAGACCGCAAGTGCAGTAGACAGCCTACAAAACTCTTTTTCGATTATATTTAGTATACTTTTTCCTTGTCAGACATATATATTGCACAACTTAGGATTATGTAGAACTGGATTAAAGAACATCCTGATACTCGTAGTTGGATATAAAATGGCATCTATGTTAATAGATGGATGTGAATTGATGCGCTATGTAACTTAAAGTGGTTTATTAGTGATAATTGACTTTTTTATGAACAGGAGAGTAGTTCATATGGAGAGAAGCAGCAACAATTTCTCCCAGCGGGGTTGTTACTTCCCAAGCAATTTGCAAAGTCTGCCAACAACCCTGTGATATTCAATCAAGCAAATGGACCGTTCATCGAAAAAGATCCCTCGGAAGAGGTTGAGAACGGTCATTTGGGGCTGTTTGGCACCTACAGCGACTACGATCTCCTGCCCCCCAAACAAGTCGTAGTTAGATCCCGACCTGGCCATTTCCCAATCAATCATTCCAGCGGCGGCCCTCCTGTTAAAAGGTCCCAATCGCTCGCAGCAGCACGCGAAGGATGTAAGTCCGTCACGTATTAGGTTTTACTCCTTCCTTTTCATATGCAAATACACCATCTTCTTGGGATGGAATGAGATGAGAAATACTTTTCGCATTGAGCTAATCATTTTCTGCTGATATTTTTAGATATGTGTCATTTCAAACTATGCCAGTTCGGCACTTCTGGAAAACGTCGATGGAGCCCACTTTTTGAATTCGATTGAAAATGGTATGCTGTACTGCATCCACGTTGAATCCAAGTCCTAATGTTTTGCTACTACACAAATACTTCCACCAACTACAACTACCGCATTCGTGGAGGTAAACCCAGGAACTCCACACGGACACATCATTTTACAAGAAATGTTACAATTTCTTTCTGCATTTTATCGATATTATATGGCCAAAAAAGCTGTTAAAATTCCCAAATTGTACTTGACATTTTCAAACCCTAGTAGTTCACAGTGCTGTATGAATACTGAACTCTGTCTACTCATCACTTTGAGTCTAGCTTTAAACCCGTGATATATGTAGTCATTCATAACTGCATGTACAGCCACTAGTTATGTAGATTAGATAGCATACATAAGTTACAAAGTAGACACATATCATGGGCAATATGTAAATAAGTGTGTAGCATCTTGAGGGATTTCTCTAATCGCTACTCAATCTGTCGAACAATTTTATTTGAACTGCATTATCTTTTCGTGTTAATAAAATAATGCTGTCACACTTTAAGCTAACAATAACTTTGAACATTAATCATTTCCTGTGACGAGGAACACACAATCCTAAATCATTACATCATCCATTTTAGATAATGCTGGTTAATATATACCAGTAGTATCATCCATGACATTTCGTCGTTAATAAAATATTTTAAACTTCTTATCGTGGCGATTTATATGCATAACCATTTCTCACTTATCGTTTCATAATACTACTTGCATATCTATGTTCATACGTACAAAGTAAGAACTTTCACTTTCCCTGACAGTTTTTACCCAGGGCTTACAGAATCGATATGAATGTTTGCCCGTGGACGAATATCTGAACAAATTGTGATCAAATTGGTCCTCTAAATAAATTTCATATCTTTCCAAGGACTTGATGAGTTCGAAAATTCATAAGAACATGAGTCAAATTGTCGGATTCACATTCATTCATCATATTTATTGCAATGCTGGACTAACTACATCACCGACATTCTACTTAAATGTTTGTTCTTATTTATGCAAAAACGAATGCAATTGTTGTGATATTTGTCGAATATTAAAGAGGTTACTGTTTGAAAACTTTCATTCGAACTCGATTTGAGTAAATGCTTTTAGCTATTCTCATAGGAAATACGATTATTTGTTCAGTTAAAACCAATCTGAAGTATGTATTCTGCAGTAGTTGTGAGAAACTGAGCACCATCATCATCATTGCGTATTTGGATCAACAATATTGTTCCCTGAAGGACCAGACGACTACATCAAAAGGAAGCCCGAAAGTAGTGAACATGGAATTCAGTTATACTGATAAACGTATGTAAAATGAGGAACGAGGGCGACGTCAACGTCGCACGAACAAGGTAGTCGGTTATTCATAGAAGGGAAAGAAAAATAGAAACAAGAACGGAATAAATCTGTACAAACTTCCGTTTTTCGCTGTTATCCAATCCCTTTAAAATTGAATATGTCCATTTTCTAGAATTTTCCCAAGTTTTCGGGTACAAAATATTCAAGGAAAAGAGAGGCTGAAGACGAAGGACGTTATGCATCCGCACGACAAGTCTTTGATTCAATTACATTAAATTCGGTTTTGTAACATCTCCATGTACCATTAGATTTATTCGTCGCGTCAATAAACTAAATCCCCTGAGAAGGAATAAAAAACCCTTATCGTCGATCGTCGTCAGGCATTATTTGGATGAGTCAAGTAGCTCATATGTACGTGCGTGGGTTGCATATTCACTAGTTTATAGCATTGCGGACTCTGTTTCAAATCCAGTTATTATTGATGGGAGAGTTTATCTGTAAATAGTCGAAAATAAGAAATCGTAGTTGGCCAAGGCAAAAAAGTTATGCATATATTATACACAACCAAATATATGTGGCAATGTGCGACACTATTAGAATTACTTATAAGGAACCTAAGAGTTAGAAAATTGATGCGTCCTCAGAACATCTAAACATCAATTCACACTCCACAGGTTGCAAGGGATGTTGTCAATTATTGATTATGACGTGAACACTGCATGTACGAGACTATATATTACCACGAGTTTGGAATAAGCATATTTCAGTTTATTAGAGGACAGCATGTCTCAAATTGATTGACATTACACAATGAAATGCCATCACACAGTTCTCACGAGCTATTGAGGTTTCTCATTCCAGTTCTAAATCAACTAATGGCTTATTTATTGAGGGTGACATTTACAGAGCCATATGAAACTGTACAAGCATGTTGAAGAAAGGGAAACATACACGACCACTCTGCTAAATCTATCATTTAATTTTTTATTGCGAAATCAATTTGAAATAGCCATAGGTAGAAACTATATGACTCGGTTATACACTAAAGCTGCATATTACTTTTTAGCCTCAGTGAGGGCTAATGGAACCATCGTGTTGGTCTGTTTGTCTGCTCTCCTGCGATAACTCTCGTTAAACTTATCCTATCGACTTGATATTTGGTATAATTGTTCTTAGTATGGGGCAAATGAGGAGTTAAGTCAAGTTCTAACAACAATTGATGTTGTAAGATGTAAGATGAACAATGGTCATAAAGATTTGGTAGTGGGGTTATTGATGCAGAATAGTCGTAGAAGGATGACATGCAGGGAATTGTTCAATTGATCATATTTAAGTATGTACTTAGAATTAGCTGAAAATTAAATGTAAAAACCACCAAATTATTGGCTGAAATTTGGCATGGTGCTATATGGGTACTGGTTTTAAAATTTGTTAAACAAGCTGAAATTCTTCATGGTTGAATTATGGAAACAGTTTTTGCAATTACGAAGAGTAGTTGGATTATCCGACAAAAATTTAGACCTTCCAACAATGTTATTTCAATGGACAATTAAGCAACAGTTGAAGAACTTTATTCAACGTACGCCAAATTACATAATTTTAGTTCTAAAACTTACGGACAGTTTGCTAGCCTGTGATAAATTGATCAGTTGTAAGACACTTGTCTAACTTGATCGAGCATTGTGAAAACCTTGTCACTTGTCATTGAATTTCATGGAGGATGACATGTTCTTTTGTTGTGAATACGTAGCTCTAACTGACACATGATGCATATTCGCTCACTCATTTATCCATTGACATATTGTTTTTCCGTTGGATTTGTTATTTTCTCCAAAATTTTGCCATTTCAGACCGGAGTTATTGTTATCATGCGTCAAAAATTAGGGGCGTGGGCGAACTCTGATGTCAGCGAAAATATGGTTTTCGTGTCTCAAAAACTTGGAATAGTCACAGGCCCAACTACATTATAGCTGTTAAACCTATTTGAAAAGTATATGTAGGCATGTATCAGCAGCTAGATACATACACACCTACTAGGTAGATAGATGGATGTACATGTATATACTTGTGTAGGTTATATTAATCAGCGAGTCGGTACAACTTTGCTATTATTGGCCATGTTCCTGCCACATCTGTCCTCACTACCGCAATTACCTTAATCAATATCCCTTTAATTTTCCAGGAAACCTAAACCACTTAAAGTTTAATTGGAAATGGCAGATAACTTAGATAAGAGCGTCACTTAGGGCCCATCAAAATGGACGACTAGCCATTTGACCAAGCTGGAAACGCATCATCTCTTCCATTCTCCTGGTCCAGGTAATTAGCCAAGCTTAGAACATGGGACACAATTATTGTACTCACATCTTCCTTTGTCTTTGTTTATCCTGAGTTCCCATTTATATCTCATTTCAGCCGAGTAAGTGTCGTGCTAGACTGTAAAACTTTTCCTGGCCGTTAAATCCACAACTGGTGGGATGATGCAAATAAGAGATAAACCTGTGGCATGGATTGGCGTGTGGTGGTGGTGGTGAAAGTGTGCTTGGTGATAATAACGCTGTATTGAGGAGAAAGCAAGTGGGGGTTGCGTTGGGGTATAAGAAGGAGCTTTCTCCGCACATAAATTTCAGTCGCCAGCTTCAAGTCCTTTGAGTCTCCTCCTTTTGATCGACCTGGCAGAGAATACATCAGCAGACTCAACGTACGTAAGGAGTTTCGGAAGGAAGTCGCTCACTGATCCTCCGTTTTTATAACTTGTGACATTTTTCTGTCACCCTCCTCTAGATTCGAACCGCTGCTCAAGTGATACTCCAATCCATTGCACTTTATCGTCTCGGGGAAAAGCAAACCGTTCCTTCGTGTCAGGCACAATTTTACAACTACAACAACACATCTCAGTCATAAAAGAGAGATATATTTTCAATAAAGGCTGCACCCCATAAAACAGTGAGAGAAATTATTAGAGCAACTTTATCGAAAGCTTGAAAGGGTTGAAATTTAAAAAGCGAGAGCATAAGTATTTATTTATTTGTCGTTATTTGTGGTTTTAGACGAAGAGAAATTCCATCCAAATTCCGTAACGAAATACATAAGCGTCTGTTTCTGAAAAAGAACATGCAGTCGACATTTCTTCCCGCAGTTATCAACGTAAGTTTGTTCATAAATATATTTTGGTCAGCATTTTAAAATGTCCAAAACATATTAGTATATTTAACATAATGATATGTGGTTCTTTCACAGATGAGGCGAATTGGGATCCTGGCGTCTGCTACGCTCTGCATACTTTTGCCACTCGTATTAGGAGCTCCCGCAAGTGATGATTCATTAAAACAACAGGTATGACCCTTACTTTTAGGTTGTTAATAAATTAGACATGTGGTACTTTTGTTCAATACATTTGCTAAATCATGGCATGCATACTCAGATTTTCAACTTTCACCACCACACTTAATATCCATTACCGGTCACTATTCATGCATTAATTACCAGCATAATTACTAGACCACTTACTCCTCAGTTCAGTTCAGTTCCCCAACAAATAAAGTAGCCCCCGCTAAGTGACAATATCCTCATGTACAGATTTTCTATTTCTTCGAAAACGGTATGTGCAACCAACCGCGTGTCCAGACTGAGTAGCTAAACTTCTACGTTTCTGGCTAGATTTGATTCATAAAATATGTATGTATCTCAGGGTTATAATAAATGCAGGTGGGGGCGATGACGAAGATAAGAATAGCAGCATATCCATCCATGATCAATTTTTCTCCATCTATTTGTCAATGCATATCACGATTCTGCAGGGGTGTATGTGCATTTTAGGAGGGTTACACATAGATAGCTATAGGTGCGTTATTGTCTCAAGTAAAACTTTACAATTTGTCTTTTTCCCCCACATACTACTTAAACCCCCAAACACGAACCAAAAGGTCATGCTGAAGGTCGTGACAAGAGGAATGTAATGTAATCAGCTAAATAATTTAGAACACTGTAAAAACGTTGTGTTGTTTGTGGTTTTGTTGAATGAAATGCACTTAACTTTGAGGATCTTGAATTCTGGCAACTCTGCTTTGTTACATTGTTGCTTCCCCTTCCACTCAAACACATCCAACACTTGACAAAACCATAAATATTTACGAAGTAGTCATTACGAAGGAATCTTTGTGGGCAGAGTCGTCACAGATGCAGAGGTGAATTTAGTGAGAATTAAACTTCCATGCATTACACATGAATGAACTCTCTCATAAAGGTTCAACTCACAATTTGCATAATAATTATTCTCACACAAGCAATTTCCTCCTCGCTTGTTCAATTTACGTGAGAATCGGAGAAGATTAAGCCTTTTTAGTTTACTCGAGTAAAAAATTAAGTCACCTGCTAGACTACCAGTTCAGACTCCCTTGATGTACGGAGAACGTACAAATTTGATCCTTTCAGAGGAAATTAAATATTTTAAGAAAGTGAAAAAGCGTACAATGAATATGGCTTCGAACATTGAATACTAAAAAGAAGAAACTTTATTCATTTCCTTAAGCACCCTTCGACAAGTATTCTTTATGCAGAAAGATAGCGATAAGTTTAGCGTCAGTCTGGACGTTTTTGCAACAAAGGAACTCAATCAAAAATTTATGAATTTGTAATAAATCCTTCATCCCACGACTTCCTGAATCCTAATTCTTAAGAAACTAGTACGGAAGCCTAAACTCATCTCATTCTTGCCCCACCCTTTCTAACTTGTTCGGCATTGAGTTTTTAATGAATATTAATCCAATCAAAATCAAATCTTCAATTTATAAAATGTCAACCATGTTATTTTTGTCATGTTTTAGATTGCGTCAGGACTGCTGCGAGGTGACGATTTCTGGAGCTCACTGAATCAAGGTAAGTCTCATCTGTCCCCGTGGGGAAGGGTACATATGTACTGACTTCACTTTGCATGGTGAGGCAATGTGAGAATAATGGTATTTCACGCAACATCATCATAGATTTCGTAATCTACACTCTTTAACTCTTGCACCGTAGGAATTTGTGCCTATTTTGCAAAATCTCATTGCATTGCATCACATACTTAATCTAATAATAATTGCTCAAATATAGAATTTAGTTTCGCAGCAATGACTTATGTACATATTTATTATTAGCCTGACATTCTATTAGTAGAAGGCATTATTAGTATTACTAGTATAAGGCATGTCACAATGTCACCTCCGCATGTTGGGTGGCACGTAATTAACCCCAACAAAGCTTTCCACAATGTAGACCACGACCAAGACCAAAAGCAATGGTTAATTTATTAGTTTTACCTGCTACAAAATCTCTTCGTACTTTCAGAACAAATCTCCATGTCTTTTGCATGAGTTGCATGAAAAAATCGCTTTTTCTCTAGAATTGTACTCTGACGACCCCCTCCAACGCCTGGCGTCTCAATACAACGTACGGACCCGAAGTGGAGGTTTAGACAGCCTGGGGAGAGGAAACATTTTGCGATCACTGGACGGGATGGGGAACGATTGGGGGGATTCTAGGAGCAACAATTGGAGATTAGGATACGTCGGAGGTGGTTCCCCGAAACGAGGGGGTGGTTTGGACTCTCTTGGTCGAGGGAATATTCTCCGCAGAGTTAGTTATGATGATGAGGTTGCCAACTTTATTCACGCGTTGGGGTCTGCGGGCGGAAAACTTCGTAGTCTTGATTCGTTAGGGAAAGGGAACATTCTGAAAAGAAGTGTCCGTGTCGCCTAAATCTGGGAGATCAAAGGTGAAAAAGACTCGCCTGACCGGCATACATTTCCCTCATTATGAAAACTTTATAGAAAGTAAACCTGTAGCAGAATTGCATGATCATTTATTCTTCAGACCACCTGACGGTGGTTGAACGTACAGGTATAAATATGAAGTAGGAAGTTGTCGGATCTATATACAAATATACAAATATACGTGCTTAGAATGCAGTCTTTTATAATGGGCAAGCAGGAAGAAAGCTAAATCTCAATAATCCCTACCGCAATTTTTACACTTCCAATAGTTCCAACGTTAGTAGTTAGCACGCGAGAACGCAAGTTTACTTGATTTGCATTGTGTGCCTCTTTCTCTGTCACTTTCCCTTTATTATCCTGTAGTAGATTAGTGTATCAAAGCTTCAAACAATACGCGAATTTGGAATGGTGTCTATATTCCAGTTGTAGGAGCGGTTTCTCTCGCTGTGAGATCTACTTTGCTAACTTATTGCACACATTACTGAAATATTTACAATTTTCCTGAAAATTTTCTAACTAAATATTTATTGTTTTCCTGTTGCACGATACAATAAAACTTGCATGAACATTTTTTCTTTCGTATTGCTTATTTACTTGTGCATTAAAATCAGAGGACATCCCATAACTGAAATGCATGACCTAATCCTTTCTTCGGAGACCATTTTCTTACCCCTGTCGTCTGTACATTTGATTGTCTATTCATTCCTCGCCGTCTGCCACCACCTACGCAAACACGAATCTTGCATGCATGCAATAGCACGGCAATCACTTGGACAAAGCCGAAATTTCTCTTTAGATTTGCATGATTCAGACTGAAAGATCCAACCAAGGCGACAAGAACTGTACTCTGCATGATGATACGAAGTGCTATGATAATTTGACTTGTAATTTACTTGGATAGCTTTGGAATGCTATGTATATGGTCAGCATGCACGTAAGTTTTAATTGTTTACTTTTTATCCAAGAAGTCGATAGTAATACGCACTCAGGTTTTTCAAAGAATCTCGATTGAAGCAATAACACATATTTACATATATTTAGGACGATTTTATGATGGCTATCCTTCGAGAAGACCATCGTCCTGGGCGCCCCATAACTATCAGAAGCGATTCGACTCCTTGAGGTGAGAATTGTCCATTTAACAATATAGTCATTTTTTGATTACATTGCCCGATTGGTTAACTGGAATGGACTTTTAATTGATAGTGGCGATGCTTTCGGACTTCAGAAGAGAAATTTCGAGTGAGTAGTAATGTTTAAATACTATACGTTTTTAATACGGAATTGACATCTAATTGAATTTATACATATCTGTGGTATAGTTGTATAGATAATTAGTAACAAGATTATTTTTCATAGTGAAATCGACAGAAATGGGTTTGGGAGCTTTGTCAAGCGCAACTTTGAGTAAGTTACTTATTTTCATTATACGGAATATTTTACAGTCGAATGCATGCTTTTTAAATTTGCCTTTGTTGGAATTTTGGAAACCTGTATGACACAATGCTGGCAAATATGTTGTGGTGGTATATGCATATATATGTACCGTTTTAGCTGATTTATGTTGGGTGTATGAGTGACAAGCATACACCCATAGGAATACATTGGTATCAGTGCAGGTATATCATAAGTCATTTAATCAAAACCTAATGGTATTTTTCAGTGAAATTGACCGGAACTCTTTTGGGAACTTTGTCAAACGCAACTTCGAGTAAGGTTTAAATTCATAGCCCGAGTTTTTAAACTTAAACTAGTCCGATTTGAAATTTTGCACAATTAATACACCCAACCAATCATCGAAAATGAGCTTTGATTTTTTTTCTAGCGAAATTGATCGGACCGGTCTTGGATTTCATAAAAAAAGGAACGAAAATGACGGCTACGGTTCCATTGTGAAGAGGTTTGTGCTGTAAATACATAACCACAAAACAAACTTATTAGTTTCAAATTATAGAGTGTGAAAAACCTATTGATATGTTACAAAATGTACTAAATGTGTTACATTAAAATTTGTCAAGAATATAATTTAGTTCAGTGTTTAAAAATGTTGGCCACCGTCTAAGCGTATGATCTCAATAATTAAAAAATTGTAACAAGTTATTAACAACAAGGGTTCACACCCACGTTTGAATAGTAAATAGTTATTCTGACTCTAATTTCGTTTCAAGCTTCTCTACAAACAACTAGCGACTTTTTTAAAACAAGTCAGTCTGCAGTGTGAAACCATCGTAGTTTTACTAATTTCAAACCTCTACCTTACCTTATCAAATGATCCTATCAGTAGTATCAGTACTCATCATTCCTAAAGTAACGCATATGTATCGAAATCCTGCTTATTCTGCATAATACATAAATAAGTATAGCTAGTTAAAGCTGATGGTATGATGATGAATGGTTTGGGTTCGAGACCTGAAAATCCCCCTGCTGTTATATGTAGCTGTATACATACATACATAATATGTATAATGTGTAATTTTATTATATCCTTGTCAATCTCCTCGTGTATCAAATTATACAATGACAAATTATTATTATGAATGTTACCAACACTATGAATGACTAATAAAGGTTGTTATATTTTCTTCGAAGTTAATGTGCAACAAATATGTCACATCTGTACCTGTCTTCCTCCTCTCAGGATCAGTGTGATGTACATCAGCAAACTTTGTGTGCGTGTGCATTTCCTATCGACGATATTCCCTTTCCCTTATCATCCAAGCGAAATGATGTGAGAATGGATGGTTCCTCTCAGGGGAAAAGATCACAAGAGTGATTAAACTATTTACTATCCTCGTCTCCTCCGTTAGCCTCTAATTTCATTGCGCTTCGAATCATCCTTTGTGAAAGCTACACTGCATGTATGTACGACGCCTACTGTCTGTCCACCAAAGGCCATGTCCCAAAACGAAGGAACTTGAGATGAAGTGATTTGAAAGGAAATTCTCGAGATCAAATGAATTCTTTATTGAATTTATCAACCTATAGACACATAGAGGGAGGAACATCATCAACAATATATATATACGTTTTTCACAAAATAGACATCTAAAGCCTCAAACAGGCCGAGTTAAGCACAACAGATCACATTCAATTCATCAGTTGTATTTGTGAAAGGTAATTGGAATTGAGTCGTTACAAAGGATTTTACCAGCACTTTCATCATATGCATGTAAGCGACTAATTTGTACTTGACCGATTAGGAAGGTAAAGGCACTTATTTCGTCGGCAACAATCGTTGAACACCTATTTAAAGCTATGCATATATTTGAAAAATAGTACTATGTCGATTGATTATTATTATTTTCACTAGTCATATTTACTAACAACACTTGGGAAGCGTACAAGACGCAACTGAGACCCATAATCACATAAAACTGCATCTGCACAAGCGATAATTTGACGAACGAAAACTGCATTGTCTCGGTGTCCCAGTCTCACTGCCCTCACCGGCTGCCCACTTCGGACATCCCAAACAATTAAAGACCCCTGGGAAATAAAGAATAATTATCAACTGTTAGAAACTGAGAGGTAAAATATAACAGATTTTGGGATTATTACCTGTTTGCTTGTAATAAGTAGATTTTGTGTCAACATAACCAAACTGGAACAATATGCATGGTCCTATGCGCCCATGGAACATTTGGATTATTTTTTAAATCACACTTTGGTCATATATTTAATTTTTATTACCAGTTGTATTGTATTAAGTAAATGTCCTTGAAATCGTTCCCACACGCATATTTTGTCATCCCCTCCGACACTGATGATATAGCTAGCTGAGTACGTAATAGCACTGATAGGACCGTCATGAGCTTGGATGGAGTACATGCACATTCCTGAAATTATAGACAGAACTTATCGTTATACATGTACGCGCAAGAATTATGATCAATGTCATATGTCAGATGTACCTGTCAGTAAATCCCAAACACATAGCATACCATCGTGACTACCACTTCCACTTCCTGACGTCATTGGAGAAAATCTGTCAATAAATGAACACGTGATGGGACCTAAGAAATTCACAAACGTTAAATCCCACTTCTTTATATTTCACCACATAAAACAGCACTCCAATATTATGGAATTACCATAATGACCATGGAGAGTATAAAGAAGCACATGATCCTCTATTCTAAACACCTGCATATAAAAGCGAATTAGAAGAGTTTTTGTTTATTTTTTAGAAATTGTGAGACTCAGAAACGAATAATACCTTCAAAGTGTGATCTTGACTCCCAGTGAGAATTCTTCCACCTTCGCAATCCAAACACGTAATCGGTTGCTGGTGCGCTTTCTGAGTCGTTAGCCACATACAACGAATTTCATTTTCGACGTCAATGGAGAAAGTAGCCGTGCGACCTCCTGCGTCACCAGAAATGGCATCACTCTCTGAATTCCCTGCAATACAAACTTTCTAGCTGGAATATTAGAAACCAAAACACTGGGAAAAAATGTGCTATGCATGCAATTATGTAAGTCTTACACATGTGGTAGGGAGAAGGACTCTCTGTGGGTTGCCCACCATAAGACGATTCAAGCTCCAAGAAATCCAAACAACCACTCAATCTGGCTAAAAGTGCCCTGCTTCCTACTACCTTAATGCATACAATCCCAGCAGGACTACCGTCTGCATATATGCACTGAAATATAAATGTACACAATTAGTTCAACAATTAATTAATCATTTTTATTTCAAAGTATGCAGTACGCAAGTTTATAATGAACGTACCTTCAATGATCCACTCATTGCATTCCATATTTCTAACCGACCGGAGCCAGTACCTAAGAAAATCAGATTTTCTTGACAATCCATGCACCATACAGCCGAAACATCGTCAATCAATGCAGATTCAGACAGTGAGTTATGGCTGTCATTAATGTTTCTGGAATATTCTTCAGAAAAGTTAGCGAAGCAAGGATCAGAATCTGTCAGAAACGAATCAGGGTTGCTACTGGTCCTAGCTGTGAATTGTAAAACACTACTTTTACTACAACATCTAACATCATTGGTTGACAACATTTAAAACACATCTTTTCTTACTTTTAAGTACTTTCTTAACTTCTGGAATCATTTTTGTGTGCAAATACTCAGATCTAGAGTTGGGCGAAGTTGAACAATTAGCTGAAGAAGGATTAGAATTGCTATGTTTTAGGCGAAGGGATTTTGGAATTGGTATTCCACGACTATTATTGGAGGATGTAGTGGAATCCTGAAGATGATGTCTATTGAAATCCGAATGTTCCGATACTTTGGAAATTCTGTTTGACGTAGTAGTCTCCAATTGTTCCGCTACTGTGCATAGGAGGTTTTCTTCAGAGGGAGAACAAACCGGAGATTCCGCATCAGAAGGAACCCAGGTGCAATAGCTGTCTTCTTTATCATTACATTTCTCAAAATACCTGCCCAAATATTTTAAATAGCAATTAAAATAATGTATAACAAAAACGACAAAATTTGACGGAGTTAAATAGATAGATATGTATGTAGGTTACCTTTGTCTATCCACAGTTACAATATTATCTCCGTTGTTTACATGCCAGACTTTCAGGGTACCACTGAGGCATACAGACGCAATTGTAGTCCCATCAGTTGCAATGCACTCTACATCTTGGAGATGCCCATCCAGTACTAGTGGCACCGCTTCAAATACAACTTGTGTGTAATGATCCTGAGCAGTCTCATTAGCTTTCGTCCAGCTTGATCTCCATTCTGCATAGTTCCTCGAGCATATGCAACGATATAGAACCACCACGAGATATCCAATGAAAATTAGGCTGGGTATTGCGAGCAACACGGTCAACGCCAATTCGACAGGGGATGACGGAATATAAGGATCGTCATCGTCGTTAAGTATTCCTGTTTTCAAGTGTCGTCCAACAGGAGATGTGGTTGGATTTGTGTCATATTCATCTCCCATGTCTATCGCGTCAAAGGCAGCACTCAAGGCTTGCCAATTGAAACGTTTGGCGTTCTGGAACTCTAGTGGATGTCTTTGAGAAGCGGCAGCTTTGGGTTGGAGTGGAGCGGAGATGCATATGGATGGTAATATTGATATATATCTGCCGGTCAGGGAGATGTTGTAAACCCCAAATAAAACTTGCCAGTGATATGGAGTCAATCTTCTCCAAATATAAGGGTTATGAGAATAAAGGTCCCTGAGGAGCTTGTTGTTTTGTCCATCCAGAGTTTTATTTTGTAAAGGTTGGCCTCCTTTAGCAAACCCTAAAGGCTTTGAGTACTTGTCATTAGAAGAGCGAAGGAAACTGAGTGGAGCTGCTGATGAATGAATAGGTCCAGCTTGATGCAGTGGAATTGCGACATCGTCTGGCTCGTGCACTCCAAATTTCGAATATCGAGCTACGATTCCTGATTCGTAGATAATTATGGATATCCATCCAATCATGAATATTGTGAAACTTCTCTGAAAAAATCTAGTTCGTGCCCAGAAATATACAAGTTGTAAGCGCTTGGGTATCTTGACAAGAATTGGAGTATTGTGTGATGGAGCAACAATTGAGATACCACTCTGAGATTTCTTGAGGCTTCCATTTTGATCTGTTGTAATTTGTGGATTGGATTTTACTCGGTGCATACTACTAGAAACCTCCGAGGGATGGATGGGAGTTCGTAAAGGTGGGTACACGTATCGCATGTCTCGAGTTGAATCTGCAGAAAACTTTTGTCGATGGATATCGACAGATAACACTGTAGCAAAGAAGAAAGTTTGCAGAAAAAAGTCAGAAAGTAGTCCCACTATAGCTAGAATGCAAAACTCTTGAACCACTGGAATAAACTGAAAAAATAAACAACAAAGTTCAATGTATATTAATATTTCAGATGTACTAAACTTACCGTGAAAAATCCAATCGTTAAGATGGTAATTTCTGTCAACAAATTTTTTGTTATACCCCAACCCTCTGAAAATAAAGGTTCCAATCAAAACTATATGTTATTAGACATGTATATGTATAAAACCTTGGAACATACCTTTGCTAAGGCCTTGAGCAACCCGAATTTTAACGTCCAAGTTTTTTGCAGTTGAAACCACAGAACGTGTCAACACTAGTATATTTTCAAGTCCAATAATTACTACTAGATACGGATATATTGCTTTGGCATTAACTTCAAATGTCTAGTGGAAAATCAGACGCAATCAAATCAACTAGAAAATGATACCCACAAGAAATCAACCACAAAATCAATGAACTAACCATTCCAAAATGACTGCACAATCCTACAGACATACACAATGATGCTATCACTGTAGCCAAGGCACTGATAGACATTCCTAATTTCGATGTGATGATGTCAATCTTCTTGACAGAGAAGTATACGTAAATAAACATGGCGAAGTAGGTTACAATCAGTGGAAAGAGTTCAAAAATTGAGGATTGTGAGGGGTAGAACACATGAATCATATTTAAATCATCAATTTCCATCTTGTGATCTTCATGTGTTTTAGACGAATTCAATTCAGTGGGCCTATGAGGAGGATAAACGCGAGTTAGCTCTCTCCGCAATCCGTCGACGTATCTAGATCAGAAGGCATATTGTATTTTCACATACATACAGTTGATAGTTGTATGCATATAGTATGTACATATTTGGGCTACCACCTTGGCTCGAAAGTTTGAAGTACAAATGTAATGGCGTAAGATACAACCCTTGCACGATTTTTTAAAGGGAATCTTTTGAACCCAGTATCGCGTACACTCATTCCCAAGAGGATTTCCGCCAGTCCACTTCGTCCCTTTTGATGACTTTGATAATTTAATATGGTGGCCAATACGTCGGGATCTCCTCGAAACTTTTCTAGTGAATTTTTCCAAAAATCTGAAATGAAAATGGTGAGATACATCAAAAACTATTCTCTTTCTTGGGTAATAAATTAAGACTCACCGCCCGGAGAGACCTGTGAAAAATTCAAACCATGTTGAAAAAATGTTTCATTGCATTGAAAAAATTTGAATGATGAAACTTGGCAGCAGAAAAGTTTATAGTTCATATATTTCATAATATAATTTATTACCATTAAGCATCCATATTCAGGTAGCATTGCTACTTTCCCTTTGAGCACTCTAGACTTGACTTCCCCTAGAATAAGATAAGGAATAGGATCACATTCTTAATAATTCTTACTTTAAAATCTCACCTATGGAAAAGCATAATTGAGAAAATGGAACACTCCTTAAAACAATTAGACTCAATTAATACACATTTTTGCTGATCATGCTTATTGATTCTGATTGACATACTTATTGTCCAATTGAAACTGCTTCATCAGATCTATAATATAAAAAACTTCAGCCAAGGGTCCTCTGAATGCATCCGTGAGAAGCAGCTCATTCGACCATGGCGTGATAGCAGACTTGACAATCACTGTTGAATACAAATAATTAGTACCCACTATTATGAAATTTGGTGTACGTATATCAATAAAAGCGATACCTTGTTGAATAAAAGCTGCTGGATGACCCCGGTACCATCGCGGCCATTCTCCATCAAATCCGTTAACTGGGGGTTCAGTATAATTTACATAGGGAGTCACAAACTCCTTTGGTTTATTTCCAAGAAATGGAAGGCTGAATAACGGGTAGCTGTTGAGAGGGGTGGATAAGAGAACAAAATGTAAAAACGAGGGAAATTTCCTACTTATTAATAAAGTAAATATGTGAAACTCACCAAGAAATGAAAACCACCAGCGTTGCCAAGGTTAGGATTACCTATGGAAAAGCATAATTGAGAAAATGGAACACTCCTTACTTTCCAAGTGAAAGTCAGTGGGGCTTTAAAACTAGTACATATATATAAATGTGCTGTGTATTACATATGAGTGAGATGAGCAAAAGAGACCAAGTGAATAGTAAAATTGAGCGACACGTTCTGGGATTGTTCGATTATTTTTCTGCTGTTCGGACATTGCGGTTGCTGTCCTAAACCGAGGACTTTCATCCTCACCGAAATACGAGGGGGGTGAACCCAGTGACTGACGGCCGTCCCCCTCAGCACGGCGACGCTGAAAACTGTTCCTTCGAACGTTGGCACCACCACCGGGAGCAATATTGTTACTTGCTCTGGACTTAATTCTTGAACTTTTCGTTTCATATTCATGTTGAAAGTACAATGGATCTTCAGTGTCCATCTTTAACCTAGAATATTACAAATACGCCAGTAGTAAATACCAAGTATTACGCAATCGCCGTTAGAGGAAATGGTTCATTTTTTCATGGATCATCATGGTGCAAAATTGAGAAGCAAAAGAGGGGGGTAAACTTTTACGGTTATAGCGTTCTTTCGTTTATTGTTACATTTATTACGAGTTGCATTTTCATCATAATAAATATGACGTCTATATAGGGAATTATTACTACGTATGAACTTGTGAGTGTTGCTCTACATACTTTCCGGTTCATCAAATAGATAAATTGAGTATTAAACCGGAAGTAATTAAATTATTAAATAGTTCACGGTGAATCTAGTCATTATGTTCAATTTGACATCGTCAAAATCAATCATATTAAAAGTCGAATGTCAGGGAAAGTAGAAAAGACGAAGGTCGAAATTATGTAAAATCCTAAGATTCATAACAATGTTCCTTGATAATTGCATGATCTGTTGCGAAAAAATTGATTATCAAAAAAACCAACCTTCATTAAAGCGCTTTGATCAGTCATTCATGATTACGGAAAGAAAGTATCCTTCCTTATTTTACACAGTGTACGTTGTCTCCACTTTTTAAGTTTATTTTTGCTCGCTGGAATTTCAACTCAAATGCGTTGTTTGAATTTCTTAGTTCTTATTGACATCACTAATTATTTGATTTGACTTCCTTTTTGGCTACACAATAATAGTTATCTTATTTGTCATTTGTGATATTAGGTAGTCACCCGGCCCAAAAGTTCCCGATTTCCATGCACCTTACTAATTGCATTATCACGAACCCACACGCACATTTGGCTTGATCCCACATCGCAGTATAAAGAAAGAGCTGCAGGTGGTGGTCAATATAGTGATTGCTGATTGCTTCTTCTTATTGAAAATGATGGACTCAATAAGTTTTTTGCCACATGAACTTGGACTCTTAAACCATGAGTTTGGCAAGTTTGGCAATGAAAACAAGTCGCAGTTTGCTTTGCTGATTCCCGATCTTCTTAATACAACAAGTTCTCATGCTCATCATCATTGGAGCAAGAGGGATGTAGAAAGAAATGTACATTCGCGTCGGCGCCCAAATAACTAACTCTTCCTCATTCTGTGTGTTCGCATTTTGCTATGAATCACAACCATGGGCCAACTAACAAATCTGAGGTATAAAGTGAGACGATTACGTGAATGAAGGTCATTTTACTCACTCCTCGCTAATGAATGAGTGTATCTCTCTGTGTATGAGGAAGCAGTGTAGAAAGACTCCTACGTAAAATTATAAAGGTAGTTTGATTGTGGCCGAAAATTAAGCAAAGGGTAAAACCACTTTGACGCACTACACCACACGAAATAAGAGAAGCCTACGTGTCATTAGCATTAAGCAAAATTGACGTCTCGGCTCGGATCAAAGTTGAAAAACTAGGCATTTCATGCACACTACGATTTCATGCATATTAGTATTTACATAAGCTAGATGAGTCGTCTCTGCAATTAAGAATGTTGTGTCTGCAAAGCACGTGGGTCGGGATAAGATGTTGATTAACTGTCTTCCATTATCATCAGATGAGAAAACTGTCGTATGATGAACATCCGAAGAAGACGAGATATATTTGGCCAATGATGTGATGGCTTTGAGAGGAGAATTATTGATCTCTGGAAAAGTTCACTTTGGTTTGACATCAAAATGACAAAGTGCAACTATGAAAATAATTATGAAGTTTTATGCAATATTGGATTCTTTTTGATTAAACTCAATACTTTAATACTATTATTTATTTTTCAGTTTAAAATATTAACTGATTTATTTAAAATTCGAAAGAGTATACGCCATTAACTTTGTTTGCACACATTATTTTTTTATGACTGACATTGAACAAATCATTGCCAGGGACAGGCGATGGACATGAAATCAGCATTTGGACAGTTTATTTATTCATATTCATTTTTATCAGCAGAGATTGATCAATACAATACAAGTTAACAAATTGTAATAAAAAGCATTCAATGAGTGCAATTGCCAATAATCATTAATTATTATTTTACTGGAGGAATTACCACATTAAAAATATTTGTGATAATCAAACTACTTCAAAAGTACAGGTTAAAGTCGAAACATGACATATGTATGTATTTATTATTAAAACATAATGAAAATATTCGTGAGTGAGATGGTGACATTTAATTTGTGTCCTACTTACAGCAAATCAGATCTAACGATACTTACAACCATACAATACACATGGAGATATCAGGCGAATAAAAACTATTTTATCCACACAAAACAAATACATATGTACATACATACATACATCGTCATACAGTTAAATGGTAAATTATTAATACTACACGATATACTATGTTTCCTGTTAAAGCCCCCTCACTCACTCACAATAACTATTGTTTCTGCTTCATAGTACAAGCTATTAATTCTGCATAAACCTACGGCTACATATACATACGTATTGAATATAAGACTTAGTGGATGCACCAATTTTTTTGTACGCCTAAATATATATGATGTTAAAGTTTAATGGTAACGTTAATTTAAATGTTTGAAGACAAAATATATATATGTCAATCATCCATTATTTAGTTTTGGGACTGACCCATTTCAAGTGGCTTACGATACATTATATTGAGATTCTATATTTACAAATAATATTAAGATTTTTTAATCTTGACGAGACTCAGACCATGATTAAGTAATGCAAAATAGTAAGAAAAGGCTCTGAATATGAGAATCTCTAAAAGTTGACTTGACTTTCACAAAACTTGGGGTTGGTTTGTCACATTACCACTGCAAGAGTACTAATGTTATCACATGTGAATGGACGCCGCGCTATATCTTATTCGATCCCCCCTTGTCCATTGGCTTGGTCGATACTGAAAAGTAGAAATGGTTGCAGGTATTTAGCACCGAAATTTTAAATATTTTTACAATGGATAAACTAAACTAAAAATAGGATGCAAATATTAACGTATTATTATTAAGTAGGTCATATAGTTCTGAACTTACCCTGATTAGTAGCTGGCCTGAAGTGGTATGCGGGTAGAAATAGGCGTACGCCAGCCAGCCAACTGAGGCAAAAATCACAATGACAAAAAACAGTATTGCAATCACACCTCCTGCGCTGGTGCCACCAGAGTCTGAAATAACAAAATGTATAATGTCTTATTTTTTATGCCATCCACGTTTTTATTTTTATGATTTTGTGATGTCAAATAAAAATGTAGATCATACCTGAAGTTTTGGATTTTTGAACCTGTGACGTTTCTGGTTTGAACTGCCTATGGTCAGGGAAATTAGGAGTATCATGATTTGAGTCGATGTCGTCGTGACGAGATGACGAGGTAGTGGGATTACTGTAATTGAAAGTGAAGCCTCCTGCAGGACAATATTTAGGAAGCTGAACGTGAACATTTTCTTTGTCGCAGTTATTGAGCATCCAATCTTGACGCTGACGGTCCCATCCGCTAGAACAACGGTTAAGCTTTGGACACCACGCACACTAAACACAAATTTGAATAATACAAGCTTTTTTTGTGAAATAAAATAACCCCGTAAGATGATCTAAAAAAATTTTGCTAACGTCAAAATCTGTGCCGTTCTCTGCTGTACAAGTTTCGCATGTCGTGAAGGTTAAACATGTCTCCTGCAGTCGGAAAATAATTGCGGATCCATTGACTATTTGGAAACCCTTATCCTTTAAGTCCACACGATGGTATTCGTAAATGGTCTTTTGCTTGAGAACTATTTGGCGAAGAATAATGAATTTATTATGATATTATATTTTGATATAATTAAAGAAACCCAAATTCTTTTCTTTTAGAAAGCGGCTCACCTAAAATACTTTTATCCCTGATGTAGGCATCACTCAACCCAACCTTCACGGGATGCTGTGTATCATTAATTGCGTTCACAGCGATGGGTACATTTTTGTATGCAAATACGATGGTTCCATTTTTATATAATGTTGTTTGGAAGGTAAAATTCCCAATTTCGGGAGAATCATGAAGTTTCACCTCTGACCATTCCACCTTGATTTTTAATTAAACGCACTTTGAATTAAATTAATCAACTTGTAGGTTATGAATAAATTATTGTCAGAATTACCACGAAGAATTCGCTAGTGCTGAGAAAGCTAACATTTGAGTTTGGCGAGGTTTGCGTTTCGAAATTTCCCATCAATGGTGCTACGTATTGTGTTGCAGCCAGCCATGCGTGGACTTGATCCCCTAAATAAATAAATCCCCCCGTAGCAATGGTCAAGTTGGTAATAAGGTGTCCATAAAACGGAAAATCAAATTTCGGCTTTAGTGTCTGAAAAAAATAATAATAATTATTATTTATTTATATCTGCATCATCATCAATCAATCTATGAAAGTCTACTAAATCACTTACGGCTGCTCTTCTATGTGCCTGGGATAGCATATCATGCTTTGTTTTATTGCCTCCAATCCAAAAATCTTCACCGGCTGTGGGTGGTTTATACTGGACGACGTAGTACAAAAAGTTGTCTTCCTAAAAATCATTTAATAGAATTTTAAATGTGACATTCTTTTTTTCTTTGTATTGTGGTTGCAATTGTTAATCTTCTTACTTTCTCTGTATAATTCTCCTTATTGAAGTCTGTGGGTGAGAAAGGAATTTCTGCCAATGTTCCGTTGATAAAAGCATCATCCTCTTCAACCGCAGGTAAAATAGTGGTTTGATGTTCAGTGGCGTTATTTGAGGTAAAAATGTTGCCCGGATTTCTCAACAAATTTGTTCCATCACTGCCACTTGAAGGACTTTGACTTTGACCCGTTGTTACCGGGTTTCGAGTTTTGTTAGCCCATATTGAATTCTGCTTCCCAATGGGAGAGGTTTTGCTTGGTGCAGAAACTTGGGGCGGAGACGACGATGGTGGGATTGAGACAGACACTTGTCGCTTTTCTCGGATTTTCAAGGGCACAATTTCATGGGAAACAATTTCATTATTAACTTCAGACGGAACACCATTTCCAATAGAATATGCGGTACCTGTAAAAGAGATGTTCAAACTACATGAAAGGCATAATCTTAATATTATGACACAATTTCGTGCAATGCTTATCAAATAGGTCGTTATGTATGAAAGAAAATGAGGGACGACTAATATGCAATAGGGACTCGCATTGTTTATTTGAACTCATCCTGGCAATAAGAAATGACCAGATTTCGTATATTGTTGAATGACTCATCGTGGTCACAGTTCATGAATACAGCTTATTAGCACTGAAATGAGAGATGAGTTTTCACTCGTTCGCGTTGAACTCCATATACTATGTGTATAGTAAACTGCAAATCTGAGACGCTTTCCACCACAGATTTGGAGTCAGGTACCCCAAAATAATGCTCAACAACAATCTTTCAAGAAGGTTTCGCTCATAAATGGCAGCTACGTACACAGAGTATCAGCAAAAGTAGTCGTAGTTCCAACAACTTTGCACAAGTGCATTGCACTTTATTCTGCATGTTCATTACAAGAACTAAAAAAAGTAGATTGTCGTTGTATGCTCCATTGAATGAATGTCAAAGTTTATGCTAAAATTTGACTTGAAGGAAAGTAACTGTTTTATGGTGAAATGTACACCGTGTCCAATAATAGGCACACAAAATAAAAATAAACCATCATGGTTTATTTATTGAGTGTCATCTCAATAATTTGAAAGCAATGCATTTTATAATATCAATCAACTCGACAACTGCTCGTTTAAAGCTAACTATAGGTATGTGAGGAGAACTGCGTTTTTGAGCCGAACTATTTTTATTGAAAGTATATAAAAATTATAATCACTCCTTTGAAATGGTTTAACATAATCATAGACGATCAAATCAAGGATTGCATTACTATTATAGTAGAATATTCAAATAAATTCCACTTTATGCTATAAATCTCAAATTAATTCTGTCACGGCTTAATCTAATCTGATTATATTAAAGTCATTTAAATAACATAATAACAAGGCACAATGGGAAACTCCATGAATCACAACGTTTGGTGGCTTTTACGAGTATTGATCATTAATTTTTGCACCTGATATCCACCTTAGACATATGAGATAAGCCTCTGTTTGCAGTAGAATGAAGGACAACCATCATATGTATCATCATCATCATTGTAATTTTTTCCTTCTACAATGTCAACCTCAACAGCAGCACATGCAAATGGTTAATAAATTTCTTTCTGGACAAACTTAATCCCAATTATTGATCCATATAAAGTAAGTAAATGATCTGCTGATTGCTTCAGCTCTCAGAAACTAGCCTAACTTTCTCTTAAAGTTTAAAGTGTAAAACGTAGAGTGCGTTATCAAAGGACTCGGCAGCCTCTCTTTTGCGGCATGGGGTGTCAAACACGTTGTTCTCTGTGACTTATTACTATTGGGGAGAGGAGGGTATAGTGAAACGAACGGTGAAAGTAAGTTCAGCGTCATTTTCCTCTAAGGAAAGACTTACGTGGATCGAAAGGGTCCGAGAGAAAACCCGGGAGGAAAGTAGCACCGAATAAAACGTAGAGAGTCAGTCTGGACATGATGATCGTTGTCCTCATCACGATTCACGACCTATTATAATGTGGATTATCAGAACTATTATGTGTGTGTACATACGTAAATGAAGAACAGCACAGGACTATATTGCTCACTCTTTAAGTTTCAACCACTGAAATTACAATATTCAGAAGGAGCCACACACAGGAAGCACTCTGGCTGGAAGAGGGTGAGTGGATGTACGTATAAAAACTTTGTCGATTGCTTAATCCAACTGCATTAATTTAAGGACACTCCTCGTCCGCTTAGAACAATTTTCAGCTGTTATATTATACTTATTCACTTTAGTAGTCGAATTGATATATGGATATATGGATGATGGCATTTGTTTTTAGCAATACCACTCTGCCAACAACTTTGCTCGAGTCAGCCACGATTTTGAAAGGGTTGTTTGTGGCTGATTTTCTTTTGCATTACAACATTTGCTTGGTTTGGTTGGGTGAGAACGAATGTGGAGGAAGTTCTTGTTGGAAGAATTGTGGGATACATAAGAAATATAAGAGTTCAAGATCTAGCATGTAATAAACCGTTACAACGCATGTAACCAAGGGGTGAAAGGAGTGTCATACGTCAATGTGAATATCAAATTGTTCGAAAATTTGTTAAGATTGACACTTCTGACGTGTTTTCGACTTTTGTGTCTTATTTGTGTCAAATTTAACAGTTGATAACCCTTATGTGACCTTTATATGACCTCTGAGGTCAAAATGGAGGTCACCATTGAATTCGGGGTTAAATTTCAGTTGAAATTGAAATAGATATGTCCTATGACCTTTACATGACCTCTGAGGTCAAAATGGAGGTCACCATTGAATTTGACATTGAAAAATAGTTAAAAATGATGTGTCGCATGCCAAAACTGACACGTGACACTTTTTCGTCACTTTTCGTCACTGTGACGACGTCATCGTCACAGGTGACGTCCAAACACAAAATGACATGAATTTTCAAATTCCTCGTTGAAAAATAGTTAAAAATGATGTGTCGCATGCCAAAATTGACACGTGACACTTTTTCGTCACTTTTCGTCACTGTGACGACGTCATCGTCACAGGTGACGATGTCACAGTGTCCATCTTCGAACTCGTCCTGTCCCTTGACGTTAGGAGTTTACGTTCAAAATTTCAAGTCTCTATGTCTTTTCGTTCAAAAGTTATCGGAGCTACGGACAGACAGACGGACAGACGGACATAACGATCTTATAAAGGGCTTTCACCCCTTAATAATCCAACAGCAGAAAGAACCCATCCACAATGTCCTGGGAGACCCAAAATCCTGCCAAAATTACTTTAAGGCCCAAAATCCTCCCATGGGGGTCGGAGACCATAAAAATGTGGTTCATTTTGATTTTCGAAAGTGGGTGTGGTCAGGAGGGGGGTTTTTATGGAATTTTCAAAAAGTCGCAAATCACCCCTAAAACCACACCCACTTTGTTCAGAATTTAACGCTGATGAAAATGAGGTATCATACATGCCCCTAGCTCTTACCATTGTCTCGCAAAAAAATAAAATGTAGCGGAAGATCGGTGTTTTTGTCAAAAATCGTCAAAATGGCCTACTTTGAAGGGCTCTCAAATCCTTGATACTGAATTTGTGCAGGAAATTGTTTCTGCATTTTGAAGTACTATCATAGGACTAACTTAGGTCATGACCTTGGTCAGATCTGAGACGGAGGTTTTTGGCAAATTGAGGTCAAAGTTGATGAAAATAGCGTCAAAACGACATCAAAATGACGAAGTTTTTTGATTTTTTGGGGAAAAATTTTTTGTTGATTTGCACGAATCATGACCTCTAGGTCAAGAAAAACAGGTTTATGGGGCAAGTTGAGATTTTTGGGGCAAAGTGAGACAAATCTCAACTTGCCCCATAAACCTGTTTTTCGTGACCTAGAGGTCATGATTCGTGCAAATCAACAATAAAAAATTTTTCCCCAAAAAATCAAAAAACAAAATCCCGACGATGTCGTTTTGACGCTATTTTCATCAACTTTGACCTCAATTTGCCAAAAACCTCCGTCTCAGATCTGACCAAGGTCATGACCTAAGTTAGTCCTATGATAGTACTTCAAAATGCAGAAACAATTTCCTGCACAAATTCAGTATCAAGGATTTGAGAGCCGTTTAAAGTTGGCCAATTTCAGGAATTTTTGCGGCCCTCAGGAAAGCCAAGTTTGACCCGCGTTTATAGGAACACTATTGCTTATAATGGAACAAAGGTCACGCTGTTACATATTACTATGACCGTAGCCTAGGATGCATAGGTCAGTTGGTGATAATGTTTATCCTTAAGGATTTAGTGGCCCTTCAAAAGTCCCTTCCCATCCACCTTTTTCGCGATGTTTTTTTTCGTCAACTTTGAGCTCAATTTGCAAAAAACCTCCGTCTCAGATCCGACCGAGGCGGTGGCCTAAGTTAGTCCTATGATAGTACTTCAAAATGCAGAAACAATTTCCTGCACAAATTCAGTATCAAGGATTTGAGAGCCCTTCAAAGTAGGCCATTTTGACGATTTTTGACAAAAACACCGATCTTCCGCTACATTTTATTTTTTTGCGAGACAATGGTAAGAGCTAGGGGCATGTATGATACCTCATTTTCATCAGCGTTAAATTCTGAACAAAGTGGGTGTGGTTTTAGGGGTGATTTGCGACTTTTTGAAAATTCCATAAAAACCCCCCTCCTGACCACACCCACTTTCGAAAATCAAAATGAACCACATTTTTATGGTCTCCGACCCCCATGGGAGGATTTTGGGCCTTAAAATAATTTTGGCAGGATTTTGGGTCTCCCAGGACATTGTGCCATCCATGGCTTTATAAGAATACTCTGTCTTCCCTTTTACTATGCCAGCCAGCTACGAGCTTAAATGGCAGCATGAATAGCGTATAGCGTCATCATCGTGCGCCATCACCACCGCTGATGCTGATTTAACTTTTAGTGCATTTAGTCAGATTTGGTGCAACTCTTTAAGCGAGTTATGTAGTTTTAGTGGCGTATAAGAAGAGAGTGGATTTCATTACAATAATTCTGCAAGTCTGAAAGACGCATTTGCCGTGTTTTGATTAAATTTATGGCATGATAGACAATGTGAGCCGGGAAACGGTTTATATGTGATTGAAATATAATGTGTGTGGTAGATTTTTCGCTGATTTGTGTATAAAATTTTATTTATTATATTGAATTTTATTCATACCCTACATATGCAGTAGACTATAAGGCTCATCAAGATACAATTAACCTTATAAAAACTAATTAATTTTGACCTGGATACCATTTAAAAACGGAATTAAAAATGGTTTCTATTGCATTTGGGGGCGGATTTACTGGGGGGCAGAATACCATTGAGACCGACTTGTGGGGCGGTGATAAAATCAGTTGGGGACTGAATTAATGCAAACCGATTTTGAATATTCTACTGATGCAGTTATGATTTATTAGAGACCTGGAACTGATTCGACAACAAAAATTAGAACATAATACATTTTTAACATGAAATTGCAACTGAACCAAATGAACACACGATATTAATTTTGATAAAAAGATCGGATTTGATTTTGATAGTACTACAAAAATAAACTAAACGAATAAATCGTCATCATTCATGTCATCAATTTGATGACACTGATTTTGGGATGCATTTTATATTTTAAACAAGTTATTAGCTATAATTTTGTCCTTCAGTGTTCTGTGACTTGTTCCGATCGGTGGTGACACTATTGCGAATATATTAGCTAAAGAGAACGTTGTGATAATTTTAAAAAAATATGAACTGTATCATATTTACAACATGATACAGGTCAGAGGTCAACGCCGACCAATTTATTAGCGGCGCCAATGTTGGATAATTTTTCGGGGGCGCGGCGTGACCTCTGATGCACTTCCTCCGAGTTCCTCCCCCCACTACAACTACAACTCTAAACTCTAAAAAAATTAGTTCAGGCTTGAAGAAAAACCAACGACAAATAAGGAGGAAAGAATGGAACTGAGAAAATTTTCTCGGTCATTTTATTTTTATTTTTTCCTACACCTTATTGATGTAGCCCGGTCTCAACGGAATTCTGTAACCATACACCTTATTGGTGGAATCCGTCGCCAACGAGAAAAAGTTGGCCTACACCTTATTGGTGTAGTCCGTCGCTAAGGCGAAAAATTTGGCCTACACCTTATTGGTGTAGTCCGTCGCCAAGAGATCGAAATCGCCCTCCACCTTATTGGTGGAATCCGTTTTTAAAAGGTTAATAAATGAGTTTTAGCTTGGTTAGGTTAATTTGCATCAATCATTACAATGTTCATTTTGTCACACTAAAGTATCCAAAACGACAGGTCAAACTTTTCTTATCCTGAATCACAGGTGGAAAACAGTTATGGCGTCATGAATTATGATAGCCGAATAAATGCATGCTAAAAATTCGTAATAATGGGTGGAACAACACCAGCGGATCCAAGTGAAAGGTCTGAAGCTCAACCCATAATGGACGTCAAACGGTGCAAATATCCAATTTCCATTGTATGGACGCCTATCCCACTTCTCACGTAAGATAAGAATATATCTTTGACACTCTTGATGTACTCTGTAGATGTCTATAAGTGGGCCATATTCACAAACATTTTTATATTATCATCAGTTGGTTATTTCCTATAATTGGGCACATGGGAATTGCCTATACCACCGGAGTTATCCGTGATTTTGCCGGGCCATACTACGTCTCCGAAGACGACATGGCGTTCGGCAAACCTACAAAGTACTGGGTTAGTTTACACACTAATCGACTTCATCTTTAATAGCAAAGAAGTCATTTTACTATTGGCTGACTTCTAGGTTCTCAGCACAGAGAAAGTTGTGGGCGGAGGTCAGGCCTGGGACAGAGCCATTTACGAAGCGTCGGAAGAGTACAAGACGAGGATGCACAATTTGTGCTGCGACAACTGCCACTCGCACGTGGCCTACGCCCTTAACCTGATGCGCTATGAAGGCTCCTCTTCCTGGAACATGGTCTGGCTGGCATTAGGAATGGTCCTTCACGGCCGTTATGTCAGTTTTGCAGGGTTCATCAAGACCTGGCTCCCATTCCTCATTATCGTCTCCATCATCCTCATTTTCACCCTAGTCCCATTCTGATCCCTTCCCACGTAATATTTATAGTGTAATATTATTTTACTTATTTTTGCATTTGCAACCAGCCTAATTAATTTATGCCTGTCTCAATAAATCATTGTAAAATTTACGGTAGAAATAATGTGCTACAAGCCTACAAATTGTGATGCCATTTATCCACAATGATTTAAATTTTTGGTTGAATAAATGGAACGGGAGAAAGGAAGTGAAAGTTCATTATTTGCAGAAAACCAAGTAACAACCTCTTTTAAACTGATCCTGCTACACATACATGCTTAATATGCCACAAAGGCTAGTTTTCATACCACAATAAGTAACATAGTTATGCAGTTATCGGGGAAAGGGTTATCAGAGTGGGTGAAAGTTGAAGTGGAGAAAGTTGGCCCTGTTAGCATGTGAGAAGAGACGGGCATGGAGAATTCGAGCGGGAGTTGCGACTGCTCACAGCGTCCACATTTCTCATTCTCCGGCCTAATAAAAGTAGACGTTGAGCTGTGATTCATCAAATAATAAATTTGAGTTTGAATAAAGCGTTTTTGGTGAAAAACAATATTCGTAACATGGACGACTTAGCAAGTCTCAAGGTAAGGCTGGAAGTTATCTGTTGAGGAAGTGTGATACGCTAATGAAGAGTCAAAGGCAGATTTGTCAATGTCCGTTCTTTGCACTACTTTTATCTACCGAAATACCGAAAAGCTCTCTTTGCTTCGGCAAGATTATAATTTCTCCTAAAAAGGCTCCATCTCCAGCTTTTCATTACTTTTGGGCGTATCTGTAAATTTAAAAAAATAGAAGCAGTTTTTCATTGATTTCTCTTGGAAGTATTTGAAAACTGAATACATTTGTCTGTTTTATACAATTTGCGCAGTTGCCTGAACTGAAGAAAGAGTGCAAGACAAGAGGATTATCTACCAGTGGAAATAAAGCAGATCTTGTAACGAGACTACAAACCGCAATGTCTACTGGTAAAGTGAAAAAATTGTTCTCCTATTTATTTCCTAACTAACTGGGAACTAATTGGTCCATAAATTAGTTAATTCTTCAGTCAATTTTAGCAACTAAGTTAAATTAGTAATTCTTTGTAATCAAATAGAAAAACCACCTTCTGATGACTCGGTTTTGGATGATGCACTTATTGATGAAGATTCCATGCTCGTAAATTATATTTATATTAATAATATTAATTTAATATCCATCATGTGGTTAACAATATGCTTCAATTTCTTCTTGCAATGTGCAATCAAATGAATCTTTTTCATTCTTATGCTTTTTGTTATTTCATTGCTTAATTTATTTGTTCCATTTTAGGACGATGATGATGAGAGTGACGATCTTGCCGATTTAACGACGAATTCGATAGACATAACCTCCCCTACTTCAAAAATTCCTCCAGCTAGTATTTCCAAAGTTGTTGCTGGTTCTCCTACCAAACTTCCAATTTCCCCAGTTAAAACTGTGGAAGCTGTTAAACGACCAGCACCCAGTTCACCATCCAAAACTCAAGCGAATGGTGACTCGGAAGTAAGAAGTCCGGCTGCTAAAAAGAAAATCACAATAAATAGAGAATCAGTTCAAGCTCTCCCAGTTACTGACTCCACGCCCAGTGAAGCAAGCGACGGTGACAAGGATGAAAAGAAAATTGTCAAAGTCGGCGCTGTGTCCCTTACAGCAGAAGAGAAAGCAAGGCTGAGAGCACAAAAGTTTGGAGCAACAGGAGGTGTTTCGTCAACACCTTCTGCAGCAGTCGCAAAGTCGACAGAAGGAAAACCTGCTCCCATAGTTGATGAAAAGCTAAAGAAACGAGCAGAACGCTTCAACAACGGAACAAGTGCGGTGACTTCAAGTGAAAGCAAAGTTGTTTCTGTAATATATGTATATTTACAATGATAATTGTGCCATACTACCTCTCTTGTTATTTTTAGCATATAACTGAATGCATTCATTTTTTCAGCTTACAACTGAGGACGATGTAAAGTTGGCCAAGAGAAAAGAGCGATTCGGACTAGTTGACGAGTCCGAGAAGAAAGAAACCAGAGCTGCACGGTTTGGGGCTGCAGCTGCAGCAGTTCCACCATCAACAACAGCAACTACTGCAACAAATTCCAGTGACAAGAAGACGCTTCGAGCTGCGAGATTTGCTACTTAAGTATCTACACATACACACACACACACATATAACAACAAAATCGTTTTTTTATGTTCGTACATACATAATGCATGGTTAGTAAGGCTATATGTTTAAATAAGCTTATGCCCAGATCATATTATTCATTAATATTCATGTTGAAAATAATATGATGGTGTCTTAGTTGTTGTTCTACTGTATCCTTGTCGTTTAAGTACTTTATGAATTATATTCGTTTTTGACATGATGATATTTGTGTACTAAATTAATTAGTATTTCTTGCTTGTATCTACTTTAGATATCTATTGATAATAAACATCAGTCATAGAAAATATGTATGAATTTTAAGTAGCAATAGTATGTTGTACTTGTATTTGTGTGACGAATTCTTAACGTTAAATAAACTTTATAGGTGTTTATTATTATTATATACGTTACATCTGTGTAATATTTTTCATTAGAACGACAAAATATAAAGGAGTCTTCTCATATTCATTACATTCATTAATAAAAATGGATTACGCAACAGATTTCAACAGTTGAAAATGATAGGCGTAGGAGCAATTAAACCCATCCAGCAGCCTTGAACTACGCTGCTTAACTGGAAAAATCCCAAGTCGATCCTTCCTTTCGTTTTATTTATTACCATCTCGATTCTCGACAGCAATAAATAATCTAATCCAGTAATTATTTGAGCCACACACAATCATCAGTTCTTGCAATTGAAAAATTAATTCTTAATTAATTGTCTTCAATTCTCGTTAACATGGACGCTCCTTTGATTGAATGCGTTCCAAATTTTTCGGAGGGACAGGACGCGAAGGTTGGGAATTATAATATCTGTCAAAAAATCATATTTTCGTATTTTAACAATCATCAAACCAGGTACTGGATACGATATCAGATGCAATTAAAGCCACGGCTGGAGTTACTTTGCTTGGAGTTGACCCTGGAAAGTCTACGAATCGATCTGTACAATTTAACTATAAAATAGAGACTTAGAGATTTTTTGTATTTTTACTTGTACTGTACTGTGACTACAGTACAATACAAAAATTAGTACAAAATTCAAAAGACCTAGAGAATTTCCATTATATTGTACTCTGAAAAATTGTATTGTAAAACTCCGCGAAATAGATGCGTCAAAAATTGAGACAAATCAACTCATGATATACGAAATGAACCCCCTCCCACAAAGTGTGTATAAAATGTTCAAAACTACAAATTCGACATTTTTGACCTTTGACCTCGTTTACAACAGTCACCAGGCTGATGTAAGCCGAAATGATAGTGATTTATGAACTCCCCGCCTCAAACTAAACACGACTGCAACGGTCCAAATAATAATTCAACATTTTTGACCTTTGACGTGGTCACGGGGTCTTCGTACGTTAAAACTGTATCGATTTCTGAAATTCTCGCCCAAGCCGAAGTCTAAAACATTCGACACTTAAATTTTGACCTTTGACCTCGTCCTCTCGGTCATGGGTTGGTCGGAGGTCAAAAGTATTGACGACAATGAATTCTCGGTGAAATTTCCTTTAAAATGACACCGCATATGAAAATTAAGGTAGAACTTTGCGTTTACTTCATGCCAAGGTGACCTTGACCTTGACCTCAGGGAGCCCATTTTCGAAATCGACCTAGGGTCAAAAATTAGTAGCGAAATAGCGAAAACGGCGTTAGATTATATTGAGGCGTTCAAGAGATATCCTACTTGCCAACGCTTGATTTTCCACAGTAGTACAAACTGAGCCCGTGTTTCAATTTGTCTACTGTAGACTGTAGAATTAGTACAAAAAGCTGATGACGTCATCATCTAGAGTCCACAGTACAGTCTACAGTCAGAGTACAAGGAATCTCTAACTCTCTAATATCTTTGAGCATTTTTACTGTGTTTTGCGTTGGTTCCATGCATTTTGTAAATAGGTGTATACTTTCGTGGGTTGTCCAGACTCGGTTGTTGAAGCTGCGTTAAATGGTATATCAAATTAGTACTAATATTAAAATATTAATATTAAAAGGGAAACAAATAAAATTTCAGCTGCCAAAGCTGCCTATGGAATAATTAATATGAAGAATCATAAGGGTGAACATCCTCGGCTTGGGGCAAGTAAGCATTCCATATTTATTTGCATGGTTAAAAAGATTACCTACACAGTCATCATCATTAAAATAAAGTTAGAACAACATAATTAATTTACTAACCTAAGTGGACGTTTGTCCCTTTGTCCCCGTGCGTAACGCAACGATGGAGGATTGCGTGAAGTGTGCAAAACGGTTGGGCTCCCGTCTTGCAGAAGAACTTGCAATTCCGATTTACTTGTATGGATTTGCGGCTGGGGCTGAGTATCGAAGAGCAGTCCCTCAAATCAGGGCAGGAGAATATGAAGGAATTGAGAAAAAGGCAAGAATTCACTTGAAATTAAACAAATACATGTTAAATTGTTTAAATTGTAAAATTTCATCTCTCTAAAGATCACTAAAGAGGAATGGAAACCAGATTTTGGTAAGACGTGAGATCTGCAAACCTTGGTTCTTAAAAAGTTAATAATAATTGTATACTTTCAGGCCCCGCATCATTTGTACCATCATGGGGTGCTTAAAATATCATATTATCGAACGTGGAAGTTTGTTTTAAGATACAAAAAGAACATAAGTAATTGAATGACACAGTGAAAATGATTTAACGCAGGAGCGAGTATGGTAGGAGCAAGAAAGTTTTTGCTGGCTTATAACGTCAATATTCTGTCCACTAAAGAGCAAGCTCACAGAATTGGTAATGCATAACTTGCATATTTTATATATGCACTTAAATGTCAATGTTTATGCAAATGTTCGTATTTCTGATTTGCCAACGAATTATACTCGAATATTTCTGTGAAGCTCTTGATCTGCGGGAAAATGGCCGTGGTCCTGGAAAAGAGGGGAAACTTAAAGCCGTTCAGGGTATTGGATGGTGGTTAGACGAAGCCAATTTGGCCCAAATTTCTTATAACATTACTGACAGCGAGATCACCTCCTTGCATACCGTTTTCGAAGAGGTTTACATAAGAATAAATATGTACATATTCCGATTTGATTTGGTGAATATTCTGCTACAATTCGTTAAGATTCGTGATTTTGTAATGTACTGCAGTCCAAAGCAATTGCAGAGTCTTTGAATTTGTCCGTTGTGGGGTCTGAACTTGTGGGTCTGGTGCCACTCTCCGCATTACTTGACGCAGCAAACTTTTACATTCAACGCGAAAATCTAATGATTCTTGATGATGATCAAAAAGTAAAATTGGCTATAGATCGACTTGGATTGAATTCACTGTACTCATTCGATCCAAAGTGCGTTTAACATACATTTTTTCCCCTTACGAATTTTAATGAATAGTATTTAGAATTGCTATACAGTTTTATTGTCTTCTGCATATAAAAAACAGAGAACGAATTATCGAATGGAAGGTTGAATCATCCGATCCTCCGAAACCACTGTTGGATTTAAGACTGACACAATTTATTAAAGAAGTGAGAGCTAGAACTGCTGCTCCAGGGGGAGGATCCGTTGCTGCCGTTGTAGGAGCATTGGTATGTCCAACTGCTGAATAAATGTGTCAGAACTTATTCTTTTTATACATGTCGTGTAATTATTTAGGGTGCTGCACTGGGAAGCATGGTTGGGCTGTTGACCTATGGCAAAAAGCAGTGGGAAGAATTTGATTCCACGATGCGAGATATAATTCCACCACTTTATGGAGGAGTGGACCACCTTCTGCGCTTCGTTGAGGCAGACACGAATGCGTTCAACAAATATGTCGTAAGTCTCAAAGTAGTGAGATGAGATCCCTATTAAGAGATCACTTTTAAGATATCTTAGATTTAATCTCTTCAATGAATTAAACATCAGCATATTTCCATAAAATTAGTCTAGACATTTAACCACTTGATGTTTCAGGAGGCAATCAGACAAACTAAGAATGCAGAATCTGATGTTGCCCAAACTGCGTTGCTGAACGCGATTAACGTTCCGATGGAACTGGAAAGAAAGCTGGCTTCCTTGTGGAGTGTTTTGGAAACAATAAGCAAAATTGGGAATCCTAACTGCATTTCAGATGTTCAGGTAAGTAAGTAACACGTAGTAATAAATCAAGTAGAGATTTGTATCATATCAATTCAAAATGAAATAGTTTTATTATCTTTTTCACAATATAATGGGTTACAATACATAGAAATTTCTTCACATTCGACAACCACAGACAGTACTTGAGATAATTCGCAAATTACTGTATCCTTACATGCTGTATTAATTAAATGGCTCCAGACGTATCAATTATTAAGAAGCATATTAATTCGTTATCTTAAGTTATGTTTGAATAGTAGAAGCACCGAAAGATGTGCAGGCCACGTATACTACTAGTCGGCAGTGTCATTAAAAAATGTTTCTAATTGGTACCTAATTAACGCAGGTTGCTGTGAAATGTGTGGAAACTGGAATATACGGGGCGCGATGCAACGTTATAATAAATTGCAAATCTTTGACGGATGCCAACCTTCGCAAAAGTTTGATTCAAGAGGCCAATTCACTATACAAAGAGGCACAACAGAAATGCCAACAGATTTTAGACGACATTGAAACACGAAGCGAGGCATAAGTTTCTACATGTATGCTTGATTTTAAGATTTTGAATTTCTCTAAATGTATATCAGTAGTGGTGACTGTTGCATATGAACATGCATAATATGTGTGTTTATTTAGATAGACTCCGTGTTTAAAGCTATGTAATTACGGACAAAAAGATAAAGTGCAGAAAAATAAATTGTTTACTCAGCAGCTTTAAAATTACATAAATTAAGATAAGGAAAAATAAGGAATTTATGTGACATAAAAATCACGAGTCGCTCCATTCATGCCCGGTCATGCGAATAATATTTAGTGTTTTCTGTTTAATTAGCGCCTCTCACGCTCCCAGGTATCTAAATTTAGTTAGTCCCCTTATTCAAGCTAACCTCACTCAACCAGCAGACGCAACCACCGCAGCGAGTCTCCGCTTTGCCTGAGAATTCAAAAAGAATTTCGACAGACGGTGGTGTTTTGGTTGATTATTAGTTCAGCATATATACAAATTCATCCTTTAACCAATTGGCTAAAAAGTCCGATTAACCCAGATACTCAAACGTCGTATAGTGACGCAGTTCAGTTCACGGGAAATATCTCAGCAAAGTAAGGATCTAACGGAACTTGGGTCTTTCCGCACCACAATGTACTTTACTTTGCTGTTCCGCATGAGATAACAGCACAAAAAGTTTTCCTTCCCATTCTCATTGACAAGATGTGTTAAAATTAGAAGAAAAACTAACTCTTTTTAAGTATTTTCTATTGGCGTAAGCGAATATAAATCTTCAACCTTCGCAAATTTGACTAAGTCCCCATCATATTTATTTTAGGGAGGTAAATATGTATTTACAGTTGTGCGGATATTATTTTCTATATTTTTATTGAGCATATTTTGCGTCACTTTCCCGTCTCTGAAGCAGCTGGCGTCTCCACATCGGAATCGACGCTAATCTGTTTTTCTCGACCTCCATCCGCCGCACCTCTTCCGCCTCTTTTCGTGCTCTCTCTGCAGCCTTCCTGGCCATCATTTGACGCTTCCAGTCCGGGATTGGAACTCCAGTCATATCCGTCGAGGGTACCTGGAGATATTCACATTATTTATTCAACAAGCGTCTTTATTGCTGTACATACATTCAAGTATTATATACCGTATTCCCCAAAACAAACAAGCTCATTTCGAGTTCAGATGTTAATTAGCACTTTTTATTAATAGCATATTGATGTATTACATGCCAAACCCCCAAATTTGCACGTCATAACATGCGATTTTATTCCCTTTGGTCATAAGTCATTGAAGAAAAAAAAATCCGAAGGAAATCCGGCACAAATCACAAAATTTCAAATAAATTTCTGAAAAATCTTTAAATGCTTTTTAAACATTTCTTAAATTTTTACGCATATGTCTGATTTCTATATTAAATTAAGACCTCAAAATGAAATTTTAGAGGTTTGACTTGGAATCTATTATTATAATCCTTCACCATTACGAAATAGTGTTTAGTTTAAAATGAGGCTTGATGAACTGTTTGGGGAATACCGTGTGGAATGGAAATTTTTAAATAATTGTTTCTGAAACCTCTGAAACAAAATTGACGGGTTGGTACAACTGTTCAATTTCTTTTTGAACTGCTTTTTCCTGTTCCTTTTGCCTTCTCTTTAGTTCTTCTTTCCACTCCCGAACCCCGCCCACTGAGCTGCTCTGTAAAAATTAAATAAATTAAATGCTAAATTAAATATTTAAGACAAATTAAATTCTATTATTTTAATTACCTCGGCCAACTCGGCGATGACATCCGCTTTCGATACAGTATCCCCACCACCCATGATGCATGCTGTGGGCGACATGGTACTGGTCCTTTTCAGGGGCTCATGACCATTCTCCTGATGCTGCTGCTGACCGCCCCTTCCGCATGTCGAAGATGCGTCGGACTCGTCAGCGTCAGGAATTACTCGGCCCAGTGGCGGAGCAGATTTTGTCCTTGACATTGGCGTCTTCCTCAAATGTACCTTCTACAAAAGTTAGTTGCATAGTGTGTCAAGAGTAACACGATCTCAACTACATGCATACATTAAGCAATGACAATTTTTGTTGGACCTACCATTAATTCTTCTGCTTTAATCATACCACATCCAATTTTATTTGTCGAGGCGACAGATGCAGAAGAGGAGTTCCCGTTGGTGGTGTTGTTGTTCTCATCAATTGTATCGCTAGTAGCAGTCGACCCATTTGACTCTCTATTCATTTTCACAAACCCGTTGATCCTTTCAGGGTTAATCTCTTCAAACTCGTCTTCAGCATTGGTTTCCTCTGGAACTGACAACAACCCAGACGAATTATCAGAGGGGATGACCACTCCCAATGCTTTCATTGTCTCCTCAACTCTGGCTGAATTCTGTTGCTTAGTATTGCCGTGATTCCCACCAAGAAGGGTGCCCTGACTTGACTTTGACTTGTTTTGAATACTTCTTAAATACTCGGACGGTTTAATGAGTGCATCTTGTGGAGGTGTTGGAAAGTGTGGAGGGATGAAGGGGACTTTCCCTGGGTTCACAGATGGCTTGGTCGGGGTCAAGGGGACATGCTGACTACTTTCCTCGCAGCTCTTCTCCTCACTCGTCCCTCCTCCGTGCCCGTTACTACTGTTCTCGTTTACCAGTGGGGGAGATGAAACAGATCGCAAGAGTTTCCTGGTCTGCTCAAAGTCAATTATTTTACCATTAGTTAATTCTTCAATGTCTTCGTAATCATTTTCTGGTTCTGGCTCGGCTGACTTGTTCATCTCACTTTCTTTGGGTATATTTGGCAGAGGACAGGAAAGTTGTTTGGGGGTGGTGTCGGACTGTGTGTGTAAGGGTGGCATGGGCGGAGGGGGAGGAGGAGGTGGTGGCATATTATTTGCATTTACTTGATTTTTCAGTTTTGTGGTGTCACCCCCCGGAACCCGGTTATTGTTTGAGACGAGTCCATTGGGACTTTCTCGCTTACAAGAAGATTTCTCTGTCTGGAATTTGCTAATACATTCTGAAATGGTTGTGGACATGCCAGTCTTCGACCCTGCTGGGGGTGTTTGTGGGGGGGATGATGTTGACGAGGACGAAGAAGACTCTGCCAATCCGACCTTGAGCTTCGGTGTAGACTCATTGCATGGGTCGGCAAAGTGGTGATGGTGAGAATGACTCGAGTTGACGGGGGCAGGAGCCATGATTGTTATGCCCTTTCCCACGACGACCTTTTGTGTCTCACTCACCAAATTTTCTGGGGGATGTAGAAAAAATGGGGAACTGCTGGCTAAAGTGACAGTCGACCCTTGTCGTTTGTGATTCGATTTCTTTAGAATCCCTTTTCCAACCTCTGCTGCTCCGCTGTTGCCAAAATCAAGTGTCACAGGAGAAGTGGGAGTTGCGACTGAAGGTGGGTGCAAGTAGAATGGGTTGGGAGATGCTCCTATGAGGGAATTGGTAGAACCATAAGTTCCAGAAGTTTGATAATCTGCGAGGGTGAAAGTGTCTGACACGTCCGACTTGACGAGGGTAGTTTCATCTGAGGTAGAACATCCACAAGAAACGGCTGAGGACGAAGAGGGGGACAAGGAGGGGGCACTCGTGGAGGCCGAAAGGCTCGAGTTTCCACTGGAGGAGGCACAATCCCCTGGACTTGAAGAGGTGATCTTGTCAGGATTTTCTCTCTCAACGTGCAGGTGACTAAATGGCTTGTGCTGCTGGTGGTGATTTCGTAGATTGTGGTTGGACGCGTCACTAAAACTGTAGTCGTCAACGATCCCAGTAATAAAGTCACTCGTTGTGTCCTTCTCAGAAGTTTGAGTTGTTGACCGCCGACTCGTTTGGGACTCACAGTTATCGTTGTCGGTAGAATCGTTGTTTGATGAATTTATGACAGAAGGTAGAGGTGACGAAGTTGCATGTTTGGCAAGTACATTCACAATCTGTGAAAGATAAACGCAAGCATAACATGAACAAAGATGCAATGAAAATCAGTATCTTTGTTAATTTGACACTCTTATATTGCATTTTGTTATGTGAAAGCAATACTATGAAATTATTATTATGAAATATTATGTATGGTTGTGCATATGAGAACCATTCATATAATGCCAGGTCAAATTAACTGAATTTCCATTTTTAAGTTTACTCCTTTGCTGATCTCTCTCTATTAAGACTTCTTGGACTGGCTGGCGTAACATATTGCATAGAAAAAGCTCATGGTTCAACGGGTTCATTATAAACAACATAATTTCATATCTCCAACTGTTATTAGTCTGGTTAGTACAACAACGCGTAAGTGGTGCTTACATCTGCATTACAAGGAAACAATGCATCTGATATGTAACTTTCTTTTGTTCATGGTGTGAATAGAAGAAAAAAAGAAATAGAATAGAAAAAAAGTTATGGTATGGAGATTAAAAGTACATAATAATGCACATTCAGTTTAATAATACTTGACATTTAATGATACTACTATTATTATACGAGTTATATACGCACTTGACCTTTGAAATTCTAACCATTTAAAAAATAATAATGATTTCGAATGTCAAGCCTTCCTACATATATGAACATATGCACAACCCTGTTTAGTTTGACTAGGTATGTAACTACTAGAAATTTATGATACTTGGGAACTGGACAATACAGCAGAACTTGAGTGAATGAGTACTTACTTCCATGTAATCATGATCCGCTGCGACTTGAATCGGGCTTCGTCCCCGTTTGTCTACAAACAAATATAGTCAATTTCACATTATTTCACTGACTTCGTCTGTACATAAATCTGCACTGTAAGGACGTAACTTGACGTAATTTGTTGGATATTGACTATTTTAAATGAAATGCTTGATAGACGAAAATAAGTACATGCTCACGAAATAAATGGTGTGTGCTTACCTAGCAAAATTTTGGCCCCGTGTCTGAGAAGCCATCGGACCGCACGAAGTTGTCCAGCACTTGCGGCGTGGTGAAGGGCAGTGCGCTGCAATGCGTCAGAACGTTGCAAACAAGCCCCTGCAGAGGATAGAAATCGAAGGGCCTGAATATGTCCTTGTGTCGCCGCAATATGAATCGGTCTCAACCCATCCGCTCCACAACAAGCGTCCACACTGCACAAAATAAGTTCAAGTTCATGGATATTGATGTTATGAATGTTCGAGTTTATCTTGTTTTCAACTCTAAAAACATTTTTTTAACGTCAAATTCCAAATATACATACTTCAGATAACTTTAAATTGAGTGTGTTAGGTTTATACTCAAACAGATAAAATTGATTATTGTCAATTCAAGTAGGTTGGGAGATCACTTTTCGCAATTACGTATGAATTAATTTACCACACTTTTATTGTTTGACTCACATTGTCACAAGCTCACTGACAGTTAATGACAAAATAGCCACAAATCACAAGTGCGCTGATTTGGTGGAGAGGAAGAAGAAGCAGTGATACGACTCATAAGTTTTGAGTTCTTTCACAGACTATCGCCACTTAGACAATGGGCATCAATGGCAAGAAGTCCACCACCAACTTGCATATGTGGTTTGATTTTAAAATAATACAGAAAAAGAACCACAACATGCCAATGTACTCTGCTCTGGCTAATTTGGGTGATTACGAGATATTATTAAATACCACACCTTTGGAGCAGCAGGAGGAGATTATGATATAAGCAGCGTCGAGACAATGCGTAATATCTATCACTTTCTTAAAACAAAAAATGAAAACGGGCCCATACAGGATGAGTTTCATTTTTCTTGCATGGATTGGTTCAACATTTGATACCGTCATTAGTCAACGCCAAAACCCAGTGTATTAGTGAAACAGTAATACATATATATTACGTATACTGGTCATTATAACCACCCCACGGTCAGATATTTGCACACTTGTACGTAATGTATGTATATCAGGATAATTGTTCAAATTTTTATCACTTTCATATGCAGCAGCTCGTTTGCAAACTATCTAAACTCTGAGCACTTGAAGATATTATCGATGGACACTGCTCTCGAGATATTTCGCCTCTTGTATGTCTTCTCTGCTTGATTCTAATTCTGATACAATATGAAATTATTACATCCCATTGCCCAGACCCATACATACATAATGCTTAGTAAGAGCAAGTAAGAGCTGTGCTAATAGATGCACCTCTTAAGAAAGGTACTTGAGAAAATCCACATATTTGAACTTTCTATCCCTCTTCATCCATGGTGGAGCATGAATGATAAAATGTGCATGCATGTGATGATATCCACCCCAACTCTTATGATGACTTTAACTGCCAATGAAAACATGCACTTTAATTAAATGAGTGAAATAAGAAGAACGGTGGATTATGTTGTTGGAATCAGTCTTGCTCATCCTCACCTTTTGCCTCTCATACTTATTCTAAATACAACTGCATATTGTTTCATTATTCTGCATGCTGCTGTTTGACTGCTTTTAATTGGCCATTATACAACCAAGTCTAGCATGATCGTATTTATGTGTTTATTTATACCAGTGGCAGCCACATTATTTTGTGCACAAAAGTCATCCTTCAACTCCACCGTTTTTCTGAATCTTTGTAACATTAACACTGATGGATTGAGGGAGTGTGTGGCTGCGTTTAAATAAAAGAGAAAACTCTCTCTGTTCGTTAGTCCACTCCCAAATTAGATAAGCCACTGCCAATAATACTACTGTTAATCGCTAAGTACTTTTTGGCAAAAAATATCACTCACAATTCATTATTCAACACCTTTATTTATCAGACATAAAGTGACATTTGCGTAAAAAATGTATTAAAATGCATCATAATTATGTTATAATTATTCAAATGCATTGCCATTGCATAACATGTGCATGCAGCATGAATGCACTAAATTTTTAAAATATTTAAACTCTTTGTCTCTTGTTCATGTATGTACTTGGTATTTTCTTTAAGCTTGACTACGATTTTTGTGAAAATTGTATCACACGATTTTACCGATATTGATTCGATTAGCATATGTACATTTAATCGTCGTTGAATATGCATTTGGACACGACTCCTGGAGAAGTGTCCGAATTCATATTCAACAACGATATCTGTGCAGAATTCTATACATGCAAATATGTACACATGTACTCTGTATTTAGATATATGCAAATTTGCAACTCTTTTGAAGACAGCTTTTCATTTTATAATGTGTGACAATGCAATGGGTACTCTGCGGTATCGCATTTATTTCGACATATGTATTTGGTGTATAACCATATTAACCTCTTATCTTCTAAGTGAATTGTTAAAGATAATCCGTTGCTGACTAATTATACATCAGCTTAAAATATATTTATCACTAAGATACTTTAGGATGCTTTAAATTGGAGACGAATACTAAAATTAGAGGCATGCCCTTGCCGTCTGGGTTAATTATAATGAAACAAACCCGAAAACCGGAATTTTTAAACAATCGAATTTTATGGGTTTATTTAGAATTTGACCATAATTACCATAATTTGTAGTTAAAAACCTCAAAATCATCATGCAATATCACAAATATAAATACTGAAAACTGCATGAAAAACATGAAGACGCTCTAAAACATCACAAATCATTTCTTATGGAATTTTTCGAAACAAGTTATTTCGCCCTTTACACATAACCACACCTTGCAGTCATCACAAAAATATTTTGTTGCCTTTCTTTGCTTATTCTGTATGCATAGCTTGCAATTTGACCTTTTATTTTTCCCATTGTCATCTTGAAGAGTTTGAGGATAATGTGGACTCGATTTGGCCAAGTTCAAGTTGATTCTCGTCAAGCATACTGTTCACTAAACTGAGAAGATATGCCTTGTAACCGTTTTTCGTTATTTGAGAATTGAAGTGGCCAGCAATTACAAAAGAGTTGTAGATGCAAATATCGAGAAGATGAAATGCGTATTTACGATACCATTTCTTTGTCTTCCTCAGAGTCTGATATGGTCGAATGATGGCGTCCATATTATCCACAGATCCCATCGTTTTATTATACACAAGGACACTTGCTGGCTTGAACCTTTGGTTTGCAGGGTTTCTTGACTCACATTCTTCCATTCGATGTTCTATGAAAGTATTTAACATCATAACCTCTCTTCGATCTCCCCACCTTTCTAGTAAGAGATCCCCATCCGAGAATGTTTCGATTTCTCCAGATTTTAAAGTTGTTGGCTTTTTTGTTACGGGATCATTAAATTTTGGCATGAATTTTCTAGTCCTCCGGACAGTGCCTAATACGAATACACGCTTCCTAACTAAAACTTTTGCCAAAGTAGGGGACTGAAAATAATTGTCAAGGATAAGGCGATGATTTTTTCCAAAGTATCCTTTTTGTAAGAAAGTCAGAGCGATGGCACCTCCAAAGCCATATTTTGTAATCCAAGACCGATCATGAATTGTAGTGGTCTTCCCTTGATATGGAATAATGTCCAATACATAGCGATGTTGTGAATCCATGAGAAAAAATGATTCGATGCCAAACCTCCCTCTTTTCTTTGAATTGTACTGCCGGATGCTCAGTCTTCCTTTGTATGGCATCAACTCTTCATCCAGTGTTAAAAATTCTCCAGGATTCACAAAATTCTTAAAATTGGCCAAAATTCTTGACAAAATTGATCCAAGCTTGTGAAACCTGTCTGTCTGATTCAATTCAGGGTCTTCCAGATTCACAAAATGAAGGGCACGCAGAATTTGTAAAAACCTATTCATTTTCAAGATTAACACTTGAGTACAACTGTAGCAGTATTTTAAGTATGCACCTATCTCTACTCATGGAGTCGCCAAACGAATACGTTGCAATCAACGAGTTAGTGCTCCAATAATCCTGAAGCGTTGGTTTTCGAACGACTCCCATTAGAATATTAAGTGCGAAAAAAACCCAGAACTCCTGAACTGATAAATTTGTCCACTTGGGAATATTTGTCTGCCTGGCATAGAGGTTGGTTTGATAAATTATTTCTTGAATTATTTCTTCTGTTAAAAATCTACGAAGTATAAAATATGGCGATGATGCATCGTTGACCTCCGGGTCTCGCACAAAGACGCTCTCTTGAAAATCTTCCGCCTCTGGGAAGAAATATTCGTGATCGCCATCCCATTCAATTCCATCCTAAAAATTAAAAAATTAGCACAATCGGTGGCACGCATATGTACGTTAAGTACAACGTACTGTTTCAATCAGGGGCTTCTCATCCTCTTCATCCACCGCTTCGAACTCCAAAATGGCTTCGTCGTCGATATTTTCCTCGCCCATCTCATATTGTGTCTCCAAATAAGTTTCTTCGACCCATGAAGGAGTATGCAATTGAGGATGTTCATCCACAATCTCTTCAGATTGTGTGAAAATAATTTGGGACATTTTCAAGCAATAGCACCAAAAAATATGCGAAATTAAATTGCGAAATTCTCGAATTTGCAAAAAAATATGACTTCGCATTTATGTGTATTTCGAGGTCAACGGAAAATTCAATTATTACACAAATGTGTGTATTTCGTCGTCAACGGAAAATAAAATACTACACAAATGTGTGTATTTCGTCGTCAACGGAAAATAAAACACTACACAAATGTGTGTATTTCGTCGTCAACGGAAAATTAAATACTACACAAATGTGTGTACTTCGCCGTGAACGGTAAATATAATACTACACACATGTGTGTACTTCGTCGTCAAGAGGTTAACTCTGCGATATATGTACTATACTATGTAATGGTAAATTAAAATTTTACTAGTTATTAGTGTATATTAATGTGGCTACTATATTGAGCGAGATAAAGTCTTATTTTTTCCGTACCACGTGTCAGTGCAAAGCAACATGGACGATTATGACATGTGAGAGAACACTTTGTCACGATTTGGAAGGAAGAAGAGAGGCAAAGACAGTGATAATTTATTTGACAATTTAAAAAACTCATCAGTCGCATCACACGTCAAGTTTTTATTCTTTCGAAATGAATTTGGTGGTTGGATCATGTGGGGATCGGATGTTGGAAGCATAATGGTGATGGGATTGTCATCGTGAATGAATTGGAGTCTTTCGCTCATTGTCATTTTGTATGAATGCGCATACGAAATTGCAGAGCCACTACAGAAGCATAGTCATTTTAAC